AATTCCTGAACTTGGAACTAAATGCTATGACTAATGATGTGTTTGTTGTTTCAAAGAGTTTTCTAAATCCTTCATGCTTACTAAGCTGATGTGGTGATATCAATAATCAACTTTCTGAAGTCTATTTTTCTGTCTATTTCTTCCTCCCTTCTGCTATATTCTCTCTCTACTTTTATGAAGATCCCACTGAGTCTTTTGTTACAAAGCCACGTGCATAGCTGAAGAACATAGCACCTGTTACACTCCTCTCAAGGCTAGTGTTAGCCTATATCTAATACTCCTTGCCTTTTGTGGGCTTCCCCATTGGTATGACTCCATGGAGAACAAGGAGGGAGATTCAGAAGTACAGAGGTCATGCTTCTGAAAAAATGATTTGACACTAAAATCTCAAAATTCTGCTCCTCCCTCACTAAAGAGTTGCTGCATTTCCTACTCCACTAAAATGTCCAAAGAGGACATTTTTAAGGGCAATCAGTCCTCTGAAGAGTCACTGCTCACTCAGAATAGAAAAAAAAAGATGAATGTTGGTTAAGTAGAAAAGATGACACCTATCTTTTTAGCTCTTTTTGTTGCCCTAAAGTTGGCTAAATATTTTCAGAGCATGTAAGTGACTGGCATTGATTTAAAAGAAAGTTGTAAATGACTTTTGAGTCTGAATTTAAATAGCAACTAGGTATATTGTCTTTAAATCCATGTTTTTATAAAACAAGGAAAAACTAGGCTGCTCAATCATGGGGAAGAAACCACAAACTCCCCATTTATGTCAATAGGTGACTCTTCGATGATGTGCATGGACACGTGTGTGTTCACTGTACTTGTATCTTTCATGCACTGGAAGAAACACACTTTCATGGGAAGATAGATTTTAGTGGGAGAGTCACTTTAAAACCACAAGTGTCCACATGATTGAGAAGAACATCGAAGATAAATACAAATGTCAAGTTGCCTCTGAACAGCAGAATAACAAACACACACTGTTTATAAAGTGGTTTCATGAAGCTCGTTTGAACCTCACAATGATCTGGTGAAGCATCTCCCCAGGTAATAACATCTCCACTTCACAGGTGAGGATGCAGGTTCAAGGCAGCTGGAGTTACTTGTTTAAGACTAGGAAGGGACAGGACCGGGCTCTATTCTTCAGAGTTTAGACTAGGCGAATGAATGATACCAGGTGAATCAGGGAAAGACACCAAATGCAGCTGACTGACTGAGTTCGCATCAGAGTGGATAGTCCTAAAGGGACCTCCTTGTGTTCCTAAATTGATAAGGGCTTGCAGGCCATTTCTGATTGGCCCAAAGGGAACGACACCCAGGCGCAAATACATATGCAAATAGAAATACTATCCAGGTTTAAGCTCATTCTTATTCTCACAGTTTAAAAAAGTCTAGCTAAATCTTTCAGGTATATTTTAACATTTATTCTTGGTCAACCAACATGTATTAGAAAAGACCTCCTTCCTACGTAAAAAAGCATCATCCTATAGCATGATATTTGTTTATCAATCACACAAACAAATTCAATAAATTCGTGTGTATAATGGGAAGAAAAGGGCAAATATAGTACCTGGAATCACAAAGACTTAAGAGTAAATTAGATTTGTCCCTAAAGATGTATACAATTACTAGAAAATATTGGTTTGGGAGGATTAGGCAAATCTGTGAAAAGGGCACAACACCAATCCTTAAGAAATCACCTGAGAGTTCTACCCTTACTGAGCGTATAACCTCAGGGGAGTCTGAAGAACTCTCTGAGCAAACAATATTAAAAGAATGGTGTTTCCTTCAATGAGATAACATACAGTCATGCATCACATAATGATATTTCAGTTAATAAGGGGCCACATAAACTACTGTGGTCCCATTTGATTATAAGTGTGTCTTTACTGCACTTTTTCTATGATTAGATACTTAAATCCCATGATGTTATAGCTGCCTATAGCATTCCGTATGATCACATGCTGTAGAGGTGTGTATCACAGCAGTCATAGGCTAGACCACACAGCCTAGGTGTGCAGTAGGCTATGCCTTCTAGGTTTGTTTAAGTCACTCTAGGATGTTCCTACACCATGAAATCACCTAATGACACATTTCTCAGAACATATTCCCATTGCTACGCAATGTATGCCTGAAAAAAATAATATCTGGGCATGTAACAATGTATCATGCTTGAATGGGGACAGTCTTTCAGGCTTAAAGATTAAAAATTCTGACAAATCCTCTTGCCTACTCTTTTAGTAATTAGACTAACACAGAATCTTCCGCCAGAATCTGCTCACTGGGGACAGCTCTTTTGTCATAACCAGAACCTAGAACAGTGCCGGTAACCGTTACACTCTCGATAAATACCGAATGACTAAGTTTTTATAAATTTAAAATTCTTTAACATTTTACTACATTCAGTGAATAGGAAACCATGAGCTGTGTTCACAAGAGGCCTGGAAAAGCCTTCCTTTGCAGAAGCAAGATCTATGATTTCCAACACTGGGTAGGACAGCCCTTAACAACTGAACTGATAGGAACATAGTGAAGGTCAGCTTCCAGCCTGCTGATGCTCCATGATGCAGCTTGAGTAGATTCAATGGTCTTACTCAAGGTTTCCGATGCCTCACATGTAGTATGGGCTCTGCCCAAGATGAATAAAGGCAGATGAGCTTCAGCATCCCCAGCTGGGCTGTATTAAGAACCAGGGGTGCAGAATGGATAGTGAGATGGACATAGCTCAGGATTCAGTTCCCAGCTCTGTCTCCAACTTTACTGGGTGACTTGTGGCAATATCCTGACATTCTCCACATCCTAGTTTTCTTGCATGTGAAAAGAGAAAGAGTCTATCTTTAGTACTGAAATTTTACCACCCAACACAATATTTAGGGTTTCCTACATATCTCAATCCTATGAAGTAGATTTCACCATTTCCATTCTCAAGACGCACCAGCTGAGTTTCAGAAGGTAACTGACTTGCCTACAGCTTATAAATGCAGTTCTAGAATTGGAAGCTGAGTATTGTGACTTCTGGCATCTGACTATGATGCATATTTAACTCAATGACAAGGCTGTGTTAAAGAGATTATTGGTGCCTAGTCATTAATATGGTATCTACAATAAACTTACATAAATCTTTTGTGGGTCTTTATGCAATAGGTTGAATGTATACCCTAAAATTTATATGTTGAAGTTGAGTCCCTAATGTGAGGATATATGCAAGTGAGGGCTTTGAGAGGTGATGCGTCATGAGGGTGGAGTCCTCAAGAGTGGGATTAGTACTTTTATAAAGGGACCCCAGAGAGCTCTCCTGCCTTGTAAGGACACAGCAGGCAGAGGGCCATCTATGAATTGGAAGCAGGCCCTCAATCTTGGACTCTCCAGTCTCCAGAACTATAAAAAATAAATGTCTGTTATTTAATCCACCCTGTCTTTGGCATTTTTGTTACTGCAGCCCAAAGGGATGAAGACAAACTCTGAGACATATCTTTCTCGTGTCACTTTATAGGTTACAGTAGTGCTTTATATTCTTGGCATAAAGACACACCTTGAATCTTCCTAATTATACTTGAGCCAATACATGCTCCTTCAGAGCTTTCAGATGTGGCTTATTTCTGGTACTGTCTCATTATACTTCCAGGTGGAGCACCCAGAAGGACCCGAGTCCTCATGACCTGAACTGAACACTAGTGAGCAGCCAGGGAGGAGAGCTCTCGCACACTCACCTGTCCCATCATTGTCTCCTTGTACTGCTTCTTCTGGGTCACTTTGATTGGAGGCAATTTTGTCACAGCAGACACCAGGAAATTCATGAGAATGTCCTCACAATTGGCCAATTGGTCCACCATGTTCTTCAGGCTGGCTGGCAGGTAATGGGAGTACAGGTAGTGATAATATCTGTAAAGACCAAAGAATGGTTTCCCGGGGGCCATCATCACATTGTGACAAGTGGACTTCTTTGACAAAAAACACACACCCATCCTCTAAATCTCTCAACATGTCAATGGTGGTGGTGATGATGGTGGAGATGATGATGATAGTTATCACTTATATGGTACTTGCTATAGGCCAGACAGTGTTCTGAAGTGTTTTACAAGAAATGTCTCACCATTCGTGAAGAAACAATGAGGTTATGAAGAAACAATGAGGTTAGGTACTATTATTATTCCCATTTTACAGATGAGAAAAAAAGACAGGGATACACATAGATGCAGATAGTGTTGTCCCAGTCTAATGCTAGATTGATCAATTAGAAAGAAAAACTGAATACTTAGATGATAAGAGATTATACATGATATATAAGTTTCAAGGCTGCCTTATAATTTTAATTATTGCCTTAATCAGAACTGTATTCAATATGTTCCTTTGTCTCTGAGTCTAACAATATACTGCTATAATTGTACCCTGTAAACCATACATATTTCTTTTTTTTTAATTTTAAAGATATGGGGTACAATTCAGGATTAGGAATACAAGTGGTCATCATACAGGTAAAGTTTGGGCCTCCTTTTGGTCTCCACTTTGCCTAGTTTAAGATAAAGTACCCTTATTGATGTTGTGTCCCCCCACCCTGGTAGTATTCCACTACTGCCAATCCCTAAACCATGTACATTTCAACCCCATTAGAACACAATCTGAATAAATCTGGTGGTGAGTCATTATAGAGAACTCACAATTAATCTGAATTATTTCTCACCCTACTATTTTTTACAAGTATTTATATGTATATAAATCACATCATTTTCCTATGTATGAATTATATGTATATTCAAATCACGTTTCCTATAATATGCATTTATAGTGGTATAAGTACATATGTATATGTAAGTACATAATATAGGAAACATGATTTGAACTAATCAAATTATTTGTGTGATGGTGGCAGGAGGGAGGGTGATGATGAACTTTCAAGAGAGCCTCAAGAAATCTCGAGATGAAGACTGTCAGCCCAAATGTTTATGCCTTGGATATGTCCAACCCTAGCCCTGAGATGGCAAGATGCTTTCAGGTACAATTGGTGTTTCACCTTACTATGATGGAACAGTCGGGGTTTCATTAATGAGTGAGCGGGGATGTCTACACTCACCAGCTTGGCAGTCTTACTCTAGTCCCCAGCTCTAAAGACCAAATACATTCTAACAACTGTCAGATGTGCATCTCCATCCCCAACATTCCAACCTACCCTTCTGGATGTCATAACACGCCCAAATCTGAACTCCTATATTCTAACATTTATTCCATCTGCAGCTTCCCCATCTCTGTTGATGGTTACTCTGTCCGTCCAGTGTACAAGTCAAAACACTGGCAGTCAACACACTCTACATTCAAACTGTCAGGTCATCGCACCAGAGCACCTTCAAACTCTGCCCACAGTGTGATCACTACTCACCACCCCTGCCCACTTTCTGGGCCTAGGTTCTAGCACTCTTGCTTAGATGATGTCAATCCCTCCTAATAGGTCTCCGGGCATCAACCCTGGCCCCCTTTGAGCCTCTTAACACAGTATCCACAGTGGACACCTAAAACATAAGCCCAGAGTCTCCATCTGTTCAAACCCTGTCCTGCTCTCCTATCACCCAGTGGAAAAGTAAAGTCCTTATGATGGCTCATGCCTATGATCCCAACGCTTCGGAAGGCTGAGGCAGGAGGATCGTTTGAGTTCAGGGATTAGACATCCACCTGGGCAGCATAGTGACACGCCATTTCTACAATAAATAAAGAAAATACCTGGGCATGGTGGTGCTCAAGTAAGACCTTGTCTAAAAAAAAAAAAAAGTCCTCACGACGGACAGCAGGGTCCAGCATCTGGGCTTCCAGACTCCCTGGCCGGTGGTCATCCACTGCTACTGTAGCACGCTGCCTCAGGTCATTCATTCCAGCTACTCCAATGCCAAACACTCTGGTTGTGGAAATCCTCTTGGCTGCCTTCCTCTCCTCCTCCAAGTCTCAGCTCCAATCTCACCTGCTCCAGAGGACGAGCCTGGCCACCTCCACTTGCCCTGTCCCCATCCTCCACCTCCTGATCCTATTCTCAACTCTGGTTTACTGCTGTGTCACTGCTCTCCTTAACATGCTATGTCATCACATGTCTCTCTGTTAGAACATGAGCCCTCCCTGGCAAGGAACTTTATCTGTTTTACTCAGCAGCCAATCCAAGCACCTTGAAGAGTACCTACGGGTGCTCAGCTAAGTCTTCACTTTTGTTGTTATTATTCTAACTATCTAGAGATCTGATATGCTTCAAGTAGATCCTATCCTTCAGGCCAGCTGTGAACACCACCCTACCACAATCTCTGGGATGCAACACCTCAAGAGGTTTCAATGGTTTCAGAAACACGTCTGCCACGTTAGCAGAACTGAGGCAAGGGCACACAATGATTTCCACTAGTGTTAGTGAGCTCTGGTCGAGTTCCTACTCATGCAGCTGCCAGAAGCCAACATGAGAAGCTTGGTGAGACCCATGCTTGACATCTGCTGCTCACTTGTGGTAGATGGCCGCTCCAGTCAACACCATGGAGTAGTCGTTGGTCCACTTGGACGTGTATCCCCACCGCTCCTTGGCATTGTCCCAGAAGTGGCTGCGTGCAGGGTACCCCACGATCCTCTCGGGAAAGCTCTGCCACACAGTGAAGGCGAAATCCACCTGCAGGAGGAACACAAGCCAACACGCCATCAATGGCAGCCACGGGTGTCAATGCAATGCGACCTCCCCAGCTACCTCCTGATGCCAGATTCAGGGTTGTGGCGAAACACGGATTCTGCATGTTCATTGGCAAATTAAAGTGACTGCTTGACATTCTGCCCCATAATTATGCACATTTTAATGTTTTCTGTTAAAGAAACTTCAGAGGGGCGCGGAAATGAAAGACAGAAAAAAATAATTTGCAGATCTGTCCTTTGGAAACTCCGTCTGTTCAAGCTAAAAAACAAGTCAAAAAAGCAGTTAGTTTTCTCCCCTCTCTCCAAGGGGCATGTGACTGTTGACTCACACGAGGCACAAACGCGTCTGTTGTACAAATGAGAGCAGATTTCCTGTGTGCATCCAGGGAATGAACGCACAGAACGTATCCCGACCAGCGTGTCTCAGAGCCAAAGCGACGGAAAGCAAAACATCTTCTTAAGAGCAAGAGCAATGTGTTTTTATAAGAACACAAGTTCTAAGAGGAAGGCAGAACAGAAATTAATAAGGAACAAATAATTCTGGCTTTGCAGGTTTGAAGATGCACAGTGACAGGAAGTGAAGGAAAAAACATTCATTGTGCAAATCACTAAGAATAAGTGGGGTCAGGTCACACCAGGCCACGGGTCATCTGAGAGGAAAGGCAGTCAAGAGATTTGCCTGTGGCAGAGGAACCTCCCCAGTTACTTCTGAACCTCTCACAACTATCACGTGCAGTTAGCAAGGAGTCTGCTTTCCAACAAGGATATTCACTTCTGACTTTTTATGATTTGATGAATGATAAACAAAAATAATCAGCAGAAAATAAAAATTACGACAATAGTAACAGCAATCATAGAATGTTCGTATCATATAATGCTTGCATTGTGACTTGCCCAGTCACAGGTGCTTGTACATTTTAACTCATTCTGGGATGGAACTGGGACGGGCCTTGGCCCCACCTCACTGACATCTCTCTTCACACATACCCGCCGACTGCCAGACTTTGTGAGTTGCTTGAAAAATCTGAGGTAAACAACATTTTGCCACAAATCTTACTCAAGAAGACTTGACCCCTCTGCTTGCATGTGCACAAGTCCAGAAAAATGACCAATCCAAACCCCTTGCCTTGTTATGATACTAAAATTCCCATCCAGGCAGGGCTTACCCGCCATTTTTTTGCACATGTGACTTACGCAGAAGTATGTATCTACACTGTGTTTACAAGCCTCTCCCTAATCATGCTGATGCACTTTTATTTATTTTACTTTACACCTCTTTCCTTATCTAGTGAAAGGCTCCAGCCAGCCTCTTTTGGAGAAGCCAGCTGGAGTCTTCCTCCTGCACAGTCTCCCTTGTACATACCGCCAGGGAAGCCCTGTCTCAGAATCTGTTTGGCCTTGTGTCAATTTCTATTCCATGAGAGCCCAGGCACCCACGGTCAGTAACAATTCCATCCTCGCAGTAACCCTGTGAGGTGCATACCTGCACATGCTTCAATTCACAAAAAGGGTAACCAAGACATAGGAGAGTTCAAATTATCTGTCTGAGCTAGAAAGTGGCAGAGCCAAGATTTGATCTTGGGCAACCCGGTTTCAAAGTTCATGTGTACTGTATCATAACCTCTGGGCTCTGTGGCCCCAGAGTTGACAGCAACTGATCTCAAACAGGTTACAATTCACTCTGCAACATGAGCCCATCTCTCTTTGATAAGCAATAAACATGGACATTTCATTTACTTCACCAATACTTTGAGTCGCAGGACTGTGGTGGCGGCTAGGCGTCTGAGTGATGCTGAGCCCAGGTTCTGCCCTCTCAGAGGGCAGTGATTCTGCCTTGACCAGCAGTGCAAATCACTATTCACGACAGCCAAAGGGTGAAAACAGCCCACCTTCCACCAATCACTGAACAGTGTGATGTGCTCATTCAGTGAAACAGTACCCAGCTGCAGAAAGGAGTGCAGTGTCACATGGCCGTGTGAACTCTGAGAGAGCCAGTCCTTCAGGGTGCACCCTGAATGGCCAACTGGACCTAAATTCAACAGAGCCAAGCAGTCATTTGCTGACTGGAGGTCACACACTTACTTGGCGTCTCTGGAAAACCCATATGTGTACTTAACTTTGGGACTTCCGGAGCTGTTCTTGTTCACGGCACCCAAAATAAATCAACAGACTGACCTGAATTGACCTGTGCTTAGCCAATCAAAACTAAACAAATTTGTTCCCTTAACTGTACCTGAGTGGGAACCTAGGCGAAAACTTTCTCTGTGAAAAAGAGAGACAGGAAGTTGAGGCAGGAGAATCACTGGAGACTAGGAGTTAAAGACCAGCATGGGTCATATTATAAGGCCCTGTCTATATAAAAAAAAAAAAATAAGCAAAACAACTGGGTGAGGTGGCGTGCATCTGTAGTCCCAGCTACGTGGGAGGCTGAAGTGGGAGGATCACTTGAGACCAGGAGTTCAAGGCTACAGTAAGCCATGAGCATACCACTGCACTCTAAGACTATTCCCCACAAAACAACAAAATTCCCTCTTTGTTTTCCTGAACACTTCTTCATTTTGTACCGAAGGCTGCGTCTCTCTGGCTCGCAAACTGTTCACTGGAGTAAAGCCTCTTTCCTCTCAATTTTTTTAAGAGAACTATTGTTCACAGATACAACACGCATACACCTTGAAGACAATATACTGAGTGTCTTCAAGCCAGATACAAAAGACCATACATAGCCAGATACGAAGCCAGATACAAAAGACCACACATAGTGTGATCTCATGTGGAGGAAGGTCCAGAACAGACAAATTCACAGGCATAAAACATACTGATGGTCACCAAAGGCTGGGGGAGATGCTAAGTGGGCACAGGGTTTCCTGAATGAAAGCAAGGGCTTCCTGAGTGGACATATTTTAGAAGAAGACAAAGGTGATGACTGCGCGACACTGTGAGTGTACTGAATTATATGCTCCAAAATGGAAGCATTGAATTTTATAGCTGGTTCCTCCAAAGGAGGCTGGCTGGAGCCTTTCACTAGATAAGGAAAGAGGTGTAAAGTAAAATAAATAAAGGTGTGTCAGCATGATTAGGGAGGGACTTGCAAGCATAGTGTAGATACATACTTCTGCATAAGTCACATGTGCAAAAAATGGCATATAAGCCCTGCCTGGGATGGGAATTTTAGTATCATAACAAGGCAAGGGGTTCGGATTGATCATTTTTCTGAACTTGTGCACATGCTGGCGGAAGGGTCAAGTCTTCTTGAGTAAGATTTGTGGCAAAACATTGCTTATTTCAGATTTTTCAGACAACTCACAAGGTCTGGCAGCCGGCGGGTATGTGAGAAGATGTCAGTGGAGTGGGGCAGAGGCCCATCCCAGTTCCATCGCAGAATGAGTTAAAATGCACAAGCACCTGTGACTGGGCAAGTCACGCTGTAAGCATTATATGATATGAACATTCTATGATTGTTTGCTGTTACTATTGTCATAATAGAGCCAGGGGTGTAAATTCCAGTCCAAGGCCCTGGAAGACCCACATCCCAGCTCAGTAGGCAAGAAAAAGAGTAGATTCCTTCTTCCTCACCTCTCATGTTCAGGCCCTGAGCTGAGCTGATGGCACCCATTCTTGGGGAGGACATCTGCTCTGCTGAGTAGATGGTGCCTGCCCCTGGGGGAAGGATAACTGCTTTATTGAGGTCACAGACTTAGGGCCAGTCTCATCCAGAAATGCTCTCCTCCAAAGATACCCCAGACACTGCCTCCCATCTGGATGCCTCATGGTGATGTAGTCAAGCTGGTACTAAATTGGGTTTTTATAAAAACTTGAATTTATGGCTGTTTACAAAAATAGTAACTTCTAACTAAGCCTAAAGAATTTCGAAGGCATAAGGGTCTTTAAATTTCACCCCAGGCCAGTGTTTCCAAAAGATGGTGTATATACATGAAATACTTTTACATGGCTCATTGCAAATCCTATTTCATTTTAACAATTATATTTTTACTTCAGTGTTTGTTAGAAAATGATATAGCCAGCAATCAGACCTAGGCTTTCACTGACATTTTTACCTAGGATGAGGCTAATTTTTTTCAAGTAGTCAATTTAAAGAAAGATATTAAATAGGTATAGAAGGTGTGGCATGACAGTGTGGCAAAAATCTTGGGAAATGTCGACCAGGACTTATCTCTTTTTCTCTCTTCCCTTCTTTCCTTCCTTCCTTCCTATCTATTTACTTACCTACCTATCTACTTACCACCCATCTATCCATCATCCATCCACCCATCTATCCATTCCGCTTATCTTTCTCCCTATCTCTCTTTCTCTCTACCTACCTATTATCCATCCACCCATACATCCATCCGTCCATCCATCCTCTCTATTAATCATTTCTCTATCGATGTCTCATCTATCCATCTACCTATCTCTCTGTCTCTCTCATAGGTTCTATTTCTCTGGAAAACCCAAGTATACTGCTCTATCTTAAGATAAGAAAGACTTAAAAATATGGCTTGTTCCTCAAAACTATAACATCGGGGGAAGAATGTAGAGTGGTGAAACATACATTAAGAAAGCTTGGTGGGAAGCATGCCATCTCAAAGTTAAAAGATAGCAGGGATGAAGAGCATTTGCCAGAAGAGTGAATGAGGTTATGACGACCTCCATGCCCTCACTGGTGGTCAATCCCGATGGCACCCACTGATGGGGTGGGGTATGGCGTAGCCTGTATCAGAGGGTCAGCCTGGCTGCCAGCACTCCTCAGGGCTTTCCATTATTCTTTGAAAAGGGAACACATGCACTGGCAAGCACTACAGAGCCCAATAGGGTGTTGTCATCACATGAATTTCTTACTATCTTAAAGCTGTTTCAAGTCATTTCAAAGGAACTCAAAAGTAAATTCAGATAAAACTCTGATTCTGGTGATAGCTCAGCTTCCATGCACATCATTAACACATCAAAGAAGGCAAAGGTCGGCTTCTGGCCTTTTCTCTCAAAAACCAACATCTGTTTTCTTTGGAGGGTTTGCAGCAATCCAGATAAATGTAAATAACTATAAACCAACTGTAAGACTCTTTAGAGGATGCTGTTTAAAAATCTATCCTTAATGCTACAAAGAGACATTTAAACAAGATTCCTTAGAGAAGAAAAAACATGAACCAACATCTATTCACCTATAAAAAGAGAAAAGAGAAATCCTTAGCCACGACCATTTTAGGCAACACAGCCACTCCACTGATCAGTCGCAGAAGCAAACCAGACTGCCAGCCTCTTAAATTTACATATCATTTTCAACCCACGTTGACTTCTAATTACTTCACATATAACACATGTTCCTCCCAGCATGTGAGGGGTTGGAATTGCTATTCTTTGAAAAGAAATTTACCAGCTAGAGGATGCATCATAGCAGCAGAGCGTTACCTCACCATGGGACAGGGAAGAGCAAACCCTAGGATGAGACCGATGGCCTCGTATCTGGGGAATGGACACGCCAAGTCACAGGGCAGAAGCCAGGTGCACACTGTAGCTGTCTTGACTATGAGTTGCACCACTGCAATGTGCCACTTGGTATCTGTCCTTTAAAATTTGCCATCTGCTCTTCCTGCCCTGCTCCACACCCTGGGATGACAGAGTCCCATGGACTACCCCACTTGATCTTCCTTGCTGGCAGGTGTCTGCTGGGTTAGGTCAATGGGAGTTGCTGGGAGGCAAATGAGGCAGAACAGAAAGAGGGGTTGATGTGTCTCCTGCCTGGCCCCTCCCTACGCTGGCACCAGAGTTCAGGCATGGCCAAGTCCTTCCGTGGCCTCTCCCTCCTCGTGCTGGCTCCCAGGGCCTCAGAAGGCACCAGTTCCTTCTCCCACTCCTTCAGGGCTAGGGGGAACTGCCTCCTACTCTTGCTGCCCCCCCCAGGTGCCTCATCCTCTTTGTGGGGTCCTTTAGTCCCACTGACACCCACCGAAGAAACGCGTGTCTGAATCATCTGACTTGAATCTTGCTGGCTGCCAGGATTCAGATGGGTGCTGGTGAGAGCTCTGTAGCCAAAGTACCCAGCCTGGAGAGCAGGACAAGGAAAGCTCTCCATAAACATGTGTTGAACGAACGTGCTCCTGTCATGCCCACTGCCTGTGCAGGCAGTGGCAGGAAGATGTGAGCTGCAGTGCCCAGGCTGCATTCACAGCTGCTGAGCCCTCTGGATGCCGAGCCCGCCTTCCCCCATGGCAACCTCCTCCTGTCGACCTATGCCCGACACAACTGGCCATGACCACCTTGAATCCCAACCGTGGCACCTCCACCATTCATTCAACAAGTACTTCTAGAGCCTTGGCTTCACAGAAAGCCTTTAACAAGGTGAGGCCTGGCATGCTTAGTCCTGGGATTATTTAGGTGCTTTTGGACATAGTGTTCATGCACCTCCATCAGACAGAAGGGGACAGATGGTGGAATTTTAAGAAAGAGACAGAGTTCACTAGCCCAGGTCAACACCGAGGACCAGCTCTGTGGCCATCAGCCCCAGACTGGTGTCCAGGAAAGTGCAGGCTGTTTAGTGCTGATGTTAAAACGGAAAGGAAAATGATGATGAACAAAAGGGGAAAAAAGGAAGAGTGGTTAAATCTTCATACTTATTAGCAGCCGCCTTAATAACGTATCTCTGACAGACTCCATTTTTATAGAGCGATCTTTGGTAGCCTCGGTGGCTTTAAGGAAGGTTCTGGAGATCAACATTCATTCAAGTTGTAAAAATTGGTTTTCTCCCACGTCTGTCTTCCCTCTTCCTTTGCTCCTCCTCACACATTCTCTGGGTAATCTTGTTTCTGGCACAGACACCTGAACATCTGGGATAGCAGGATCTCTATCTCAGCTTTAAAGGAGACCATGTGCTCTTATGTGGGTGAAAGAATGGGCACTTTAAACCAAGACAGAAAAGCTGCCTTAAGAACCCAGAGTAGCGTGTGTCTAATGGAGGCCAGAGGACAGAGAAGCCAGTGGGCTCTAACAGCACAGTGTCAGGATTGTGCCAAGCAGGTGCCCTAGCTTCCCCTTGCTCTTGCACACTTGCTCACACTAGTGGGCGCACTGTTAGAGACAAGAGGTGGCAGGCCGGGGGATGGGCTGAGCAGTGATGCAGGGCCCATTAGTAGGGAGTGGCTGCCTCAGGGGTCAGGGAATGGCGAGGGGCCGACAGGAACTGGGCTCATGAAAACCAGTTCTGTGGACAGCTTTGAAAACATTCCTGACTTCTGCCAAGGCAAGGGCACGAGAAGTGTGGGCACCCTAGGACTCAGGGTGCCGTCTGAGGACCCGCCCACCTGTTCTGGGGGTGGGGGAGTCTTACCTCTGTGGTGGAAAGCACAGTGTCCTCATCAAGGCTGAGCACGGCATCTGTTACAATGTTGTCATAGGGCAGGAAACGACTGCTCATAACCTGGGGAGTCAGTAGACAGTCGGCAGGAGGGAGGAGATGAGAAAAAAGGGGTCACTTTAGAGCCTTGCTTTCAGGAAAACTCCCCCATCCTCACCTGCATAAAGAATGCTCTACTACCACATCACCCTTCAACACAGAAAGACATTGCTCTCCCATCAATATATACTTATTTGTTAAACAACCATTGGGTGCTTACAGTGTACCAGGCAACTTGCTGGTCAAAGGGGATTCAAAGATAAATAAGATCTATTCCCTGTCTTTGAAGATTTCATAATCTGTAGAGGGGGATAAGAACCAGATAGCCAGTCTCGGCTTGGTACAAAATTCCAGGAAGTCAGAAGCTGCAACCACCAGCAGTTCAGAAGAGCAGAGGAGAACTCATAGAGGTGACAGTCAGCAGGACCTTGACGGGCAGGAACTCACAGAAGAAGTAACAGTTGGCAGGACCTTGATAGGCAGGGACTCATGGGTACAGTCAGAAATGCAGCATTCAAGACAGGACCCAGCAGGTGCCAAGGCACAGGGGACAGACCAGCACCAGATGCTGGGAAAGAGTGCATGGGTGGGACGCTGGCTCCACGTGTGGGACACACACCACAGATGGCCAGACTGCCACAGGAGATGTCAGACACACCGAAAATGCCAGTGGGTCTTCATTTTAGCACAGATTAGAACACACATGTACACGGAGATCAGTAGTAAGAGCAATCGGGGGTACTGACAGCATAACCTACCAATAACTTCATTACAATGAAAAATAAGCTGATTTAAAGACAAACATTAAATAAGAGTGCATGTGACCATAGAGTTAGGCAAAATGTTGAAGAAGGTGATGTGTGTGTGTGTGTGTGTGTGTGTGTGTGTGTGTGTGTGTGGTAGGGGCTTTGGGAACCAGGTGATCAGCTGGAACAACTGAGGCTGAAGAGGTCACCCTGTGACAGTCATAGCTTGAACCTCTGTGTTGAATGAACCATAGAAAACTAACCATAGAATGCTGATACCATAAGAAGAACTAGCATTCACTCTTTTGAACATTTACCAAGTGCCAGGAAATGCCCCAAGTCCACATACATCATCTCATTTCATCTTTATCATGATCCCATTTTCAAGGGGCAGAAATTGGGGTACAGAAAGTATCTTGCTCAAGATGGATGCAGGATGTCCCTCAGATGGTGTGACGGTATACAGCCCCTTGGCCACTGGGCTATACCTGTCTCCATTTGGAAAGGACCCTCAAAAGTGAGTTTAGGACACACATGCATATGTCCACCACCTTCCTTGGGAAGTTATGCTAGTGGTTATGACACATCTCTGAATTCACCCTTGCCGTCTACCTGGAAGACACAGAGGCCAGGGGAGGAAGGAGACCTGCAGATAAAGGGAAGCAGGACAAGGAGACACCTAACCAGCTGCCAAGGGCCCATGCTCCCCAGATCCGAACCCAGGCACCAGGGCATTCACAGGCCTGGTCTGAAGTGGGGTTTACTTGTTCTGGGGCTACCAGAGCACCTGGGGCCTTGAGAGTGGAAAGCACCTGCTCCTACTCTCTCCCAGGCCCGAGGGCTGTGTCTCTAGCCCACGCAGCCCTGGGCTGCACCTGCACATCTGTCACTGGGTCAGGTTTTTTCCTTTTTTCTTTCTCAGGTTTTTGAAATAAAAGGAAATACAGAGTGCTCAGCAGCCCCATATATACCAGCACTCAGAAATCTCTGCCTGCAGCAAGTCTCCTGATAGTGTTTACACGTCCACCGACCAACACAGAAACCATTAGCTGCCAGCTTAGCGATGCCCTGACCTTTCCCTTGTTAAGCCTATGGGGGAAAACTGCAGAGACAAGGCCCATAAATTCAAAACAGAGTTTTGCAGCCAAAACAGCAAACATCCATTTTAAATTCAAGGCTAGAGTTTTAAATGGAGAATGTGGAGGACGCAGGGCTCTGCCTACCATCGGCCCAACCATTGCTTTTAAAAGGATCCGTTTTCTTTTCCCTAAAGCTGCTGTAACATCAGAGGCAGGAAGCCCCCCCCCACCCCCCGCCACGAGCCAGCTGCTCTCAGATTCCAGAGGCTTCTCTGAAACACCTTGCCCCAGCTGCCCTCCTGGACAGGCCAGCACGAGAGTGGCCAGTGCACTTGCAGAGCTGGTCCTGGGTAATTCTTGCTAGTTCACATGAGAAATTTTTTATTACCTTGTGGGAACCCAACTCCTTTAGAATGAGCAAATATGTCCAGGAAATGCCCAAGACTCAAGAAGTTTACTGCCTGGGCTGGTAGGAGACAGACAGGCAATGTACACAAAAAATTCTACAAAACACAGATTAATAGTTAAGACTTATGGAGAACCCATGATACGCCCACACTTCTCAGTGTCATGTCCATGTACAGCATCATGCCATCTGGTCTCTTGCGAGTTGGGTATTGTGATGGTACCCATCTACTGAAGAGGGGACTGAGGCACAGAGATCAAGTAACTTGCCTTGGGTCCCACAAAAGTAAGCCTGAGTCTGGAGCCCATCACAGGCACTGTAACAGAATGATGGCTCCTGGAAGGGCAGCTGATGTGCACTAACCCCTTGGTATACACGTAAGGGGCACAGAGCTGGCACCACATGGGTAATCTCTCATTTAATCCTCAAGATGGGCCTGTGCTTTAACATGGGTCCTGGAACACTGAGCCTTTAGACTTGAGAGCATGCACTTTCTGGGATGTGGGGCCAGGGCACTAAGAGTGGGGGGTAGGCAGAGAACACACAGGGCCCCTTTCCATGGCCACGGTAGCAGGTACACAGACATGACTGGGATAAGCAAAGCTCCTATGGGAGACATCTGAGAAAGACCAGAGAAAGGCACTGTTATCATCATCTCCCTTTTATACAGAAAGGCATGGAGTTTCTTTTCACCAAGGGTCAAAATACAAAATCAACCAGTGACACAGAGCATAAACATGCGTTGCTACCTCAAGAAGCCAGAATGACTCCCAGACCATTGGGCAGCCTGGGACCTGTCTGAATATCCTGACACAGTCAAAGAAAGACACATCTACCAGAAGGAGAGCGGGTCTCCTGGACCTATGGAAGCATTAAAAACAAAGAATGCCAAGTTCAAGTTCATGGCATGCATGTGAAGACTGTGGTTTTGGGCACTGGAACTGGACATTGCTATCCCTGTGAAAAGGTGTCCCATGGGGAGGTGGGTGCAGGTGTCGCAGCAGGAGATCTCTACACACTGGTGACTCTTGTGAAGCCATGCTTAAGGGGAGGTGAGCTTACAAGGGGGTGTGTGTCTATCCCAGTTTTCCCTCTTCTCACAGAACGCTCCCCTGGCTGCTCTGTGATAAACAGGTTGCTTGACTCCAGACTGTGATGCTGTAGCCACAGTGTCAAATCCCCCACAATGTCCCAAGCCTGCTGTGCAGCACTCAGCAGGCACTTACATGGGAATGGAATAGATAATGCCCAGATCATCTTGTCCACATGACCATCACAATTCTCATTATGCCAAACCAGGAGAAAATGCCGCTTCTGGTGAGTCAAATGATGATCTCAGATGGTTGAACCTCATCAACTGATAATTTGTCATTCTGTCTCGAAGCTGTTTTACTTCATGCGAGCCACTCTCTCGTGACCTGACCCCTTGGGAACCATACCAATCTCAACCTCATTTAGTAGCAATTGCTTCCTTCACAATGGCCAAGATCTCCAAGGAAGCAATAGACAGAAGCTTGAGAAAAAGGAGCTCACCTCTGCATGCCTAAAGTGGAAGGCATTTCAGGGAGAGGGAGCATGTGAACAGGGGCTGGAAGGATGTGGGCATGTTGACAACCGGAGATGAAGAGTTATAGAAAGGTGGTCAAGGCAAAGACAAAACATAACAGGAGAGAACCCGGTGCAATTCAGACAATATTTCCATTTTGTAGATGAGGAAACTGAGGCTCAGAGAGTTTAAGTGTACACACAAGACCACAATGCTACAAATGAGTTAGCATTAAGACCCATGTTTCCTTGACTCAAAAGCCTTCAACTGTCAAAGCAAAGAACATTCTGAGACAAGTACGGTTTTATATAGACTAATCCAGGGATGGGGTGATATCCTGGGCCAATACCAGTGTGCCCCATGGACAAATGAAGAGTCCGTGGTAGCTCCACACTAGAGTCCCCTGGGGTCCTACCTTGCTTTCTCCTTCTATGACGATGACAGGCACGGCAGTGGCAGGCCAGCGGTGTTTGGCTGGGAGGGGCTTGTCACAATTCCATAGAACTATGATCTGAAATAAATGGGCACTGTTAAATGGCTGGGGTAGTTGCCTCATGGAGGCTCCAGCCCAAAGCCTCTTTCCAGAAGCAGAACGAAAGAGGAGCTGGAGGTCTTAGCAGACAGAACGGTAGACATCAAGGCTACGCATTGACTGAGCCCGCTCCCACATGACCTCCAGACCCTACCACTTCAATGGTGAGAGAGAGGATGGAAAGAGAAACCAAAGAATCCATGTCCAGGGAAAAGCTGCAGGGAAAAGACGTAACTCCAGGGTGACTGGAACTTAGTATAGTGTTTCCCTGGATTCCACTATCTCATGATGGTGAGTGAGATGACACCTTTGATCCAATTAAATACAATGTCTACTAAACATGTGCCCTGAACTTGCACCACACCAGGCAACGTGGGAGAAGTAAAAGGATTCAAGAAAGAATGAGGATGAGCTCATGTTTGCATCTTCCAGAATGTTCTGACTTTATAACTTCCTATAAAAGTACTTAGTTCACAAATGCACACTTTGTGATTTAATTCTCTGGTTTGTAAACCTTTGTGTATAAATGAATTCTCAAATCAGAAAAACCATTATGAGGGCATGAGAGTGATACTGAAGCAGAAAACATTGTTACCACAGAGATTCTTCTGCTTCCGATTTTATAATCAGGTGTTATACTTTCTGACACCAACAAGTCTGTTTCTTCCAGTGAAACAGTTTTTTGGGTCTTTCCAGTGACCTTTCAAATGCTGCTTTCTCATTTTGACATTTAGAAATGAAATCATGATCTTATGAGTGGGGACACCCCAAAAACTGGAATTATATTTTGGAGGGCGAGCCCCTTGTAGTACAAGCTTCCCCCTGTAGGTAAGTGTTCTAGGAACTCATCGGCATCAGTGTACTAGCTAGCATTGTGAGAGGCTGCATTTGGCTTCAGTGAATATTTTTTCGAGATCCTTTGAACACGTTTGCCCATTTCAAGATAGGTGATTTACAAGTGCACCTGCCCACACCACTTGGAGTGTTCAGCAGTTTTTGAACAAAAATAGTATGACCCCCAGGCCCCACCCTCCCTATTCATCGGCTCTCACCTCAAGTGACTTTTGTTTCCCCAGAAGAAAAAAAGTCCTCAAAGGGAAATGTTTTCCTAACGTAGAAGAGGTGAAACAAAAAATGGCAAAGCACTAAAAGGCATCAAAATTGATGAGTTCAAAAACTGTTATGAGCAGAGGAAAAAGTGTCTCAATAGGTGTATTGCATCAAACAGAGAGCACTTTGAAAGTGACTGAAGTTTAAACATGTAAGAATAAATACGCAATTTTTAATAAATAAATTTCGGGTTATTTTTTGGTTTTCCCCCTCACATATCTTTTAGACAATGTGTTGGGGTATCAGATAAGCATTCTGACCTTACACCAGTGCAAAGGCCTCTCTGTACCCATCCCTGTCCTGTGCAAGAGTTCACTCCCAAGAACCTCTAAGAGGATGGAGAAGGGTGTGACAAATGAGGAGGAGGAGAAGGCATGACGCTGGGCTGGAGCAGTCAGGCATCGTCCTGTCACCCACTTACCTGAGCACAGTACTGGGACTTGGCTGCGGCCACAAGAAGCTTCAACACTGGCTGGGACTGAGAGACCAGGGGGGTCACTGCGTGGATGACTGCAGTGAACTTGGAGGGGGGTTTTAAGCCTGCAATAAAAGAGAACAGAGCCCGTAAGATGCTGGAAGGCAAGACAGAGGACATTCCTCCTCTGTGCCATCGCCTTGCCTAGAGCTGATGCTTCTCCCAGTGCATCTTTTCTTCACTTCTTATGCCCCAGCAGGACAAACACAAGGTGACAAGCTGCTCGTTAGCCACTGCCTGAGTCTAGGGACCTCAATACACTCGAGATCATTATCCATCCTAGGTTCTTCTTTCGCCTCCCTTGGTGAGGTTTCCCTGATCTCCCTTCAGCTGTTTAGATAAACACATACACACACACACACACACACACACACACACACACACAGACACAGACACACACACACACACACACACACACACACACACCTCTCTCAAGAAAGTGTCCTCTCTAGTCCTTCTGTCTTCATAACACAGTGTGCTCTCCCCCAAAGCATTTGCGCATTTGCATGTGTCTGGTCTGTAGTCATAAGAGGGTTTTGCCTGACCAGGAGTGTCTCATGTGATTACTTGCTAGTGGGACAGGTGAAGAGAACAGCATCCAGGGTCCAGCTCTCCAGTCGGAATCCAGTCTACCATGGAGTGGTGGCAGGACCTTGGAAAGGTTACTTAGCTCTGTGTTCCCACGGCTGTGAAAAGGGCCAAGGGCACCAATACAAAACTCATGGGGCTGTTGTGAGAATTACACTAAATAAGTGAATGTACTCAAAGCACCTAGAGCAGGACTTGGCAAATGGCAAGCACTCAATGTGTGTTAGCTGCTGTCCTCGTCACAGCCCTCAACACTCCCCACCATCATCATCATTTTAGAGGGGCATGCTCCCAGTGTCCCTTCTTGGGATACCAGTGCACAGCTGAGAAAAAACAAACAAACGAACATGTGATGCAGACTTCTGCCAGTGGTGAGCTCTGAAGCCCTGGGAAGAAAATATTCATAAACTTGCAAAACCACCACTGCCACCAGTAGAAAGGACGAGAAGGCCGCCCCAGTGAGTTTTTCCATAAGAACTCACTGAGAAACTGGAGACAAGTTAAGAGTCTTTTAACACTTCATTAGTCTAGACCCACTAATTTGGCACTTTAGGAGCTTAAATGTGGACAAGAAAATACAAGGACATTCAAGTAAAGCTTTGCTATAGAGGGGATAAAGGTTAGAATCAGAGTATGTATATTAAGGGATTATATAAATGTTTTGCAGGGAAGATCATATCATCCAGCAGCACCCTAATTGTACGTCAGAAAGAAGTTAACCTTTCCCCATATCTAGATACACATTCAAAGTCTTGCCTAGTGGGGAGAATAAACACATCTGAGGGATTGCCTTCCTAACAGCAGAAACAAGTCACCACTTGCAGATTTTCCTGTCATAGCTTAAGAAGCATCACTTACATATCTCAAATGTGCTAACTCCAAATGCAGCTCTCACCCCTCTGCACAAATACACTGAGATTCCTACCAATGTCTGCCTCAATCTGGCAATGACTATATTCTATGTATGTTATCCAAAAAGACCATTCATTGAATTAGATATGGTCCCCATAGCATGTTTGGTCTGGCTTCAAAGGTTCACAACACGTTTAAGGCCATGATTTCTTTAAGTTTCATCTTATCAGTTTCAAGTTCTGTGTGTACAAGTTTCAAAAGGGTGAAATTGTTATGCAGAACAATAGCATTGGGAGGAAGATCTTGAGTCCTATGTCCATGTCAACTTGAAAGATGTTTACTAACCCAGAATTTCTCAAGTTTGGAACTGTCAATGAGGGATATGTCCAAGATGTCCCTAGCACGAGATAAACTGGGGTTCCACGGTTATAAACCTCTCAGGCAGTAGCTATGGCCTTTGGGAGAGATTAGTCCTCTGTTGTTCCCTCTTCCCACCGAGATTAGACTAAAAGCGGCTTGAGAGCAGAGGATACATTTTACTTAACTTTTTATTCTAGCATCCATCAGTACATTAGCACAGCACATGAAAGGCCCACAACATGTGCTGAAAGAATAAATCCACCTGCCCTGCCACGTATTCTTAGTTATTTCTCTTCTCCCTTATTCAGTTTTTCGCTGGTATGGAATAGAAATTTTCAGATTGTGAATAAAAAATTAGGGAAAGCTCTTCTAACTCTAGCCAGTATATGATGAGACTTAAAATCATAGTAAGCCACTGTATATTAAGGTATTATACAAATGTTTTGCAGGGAAGATCATATCATCCAGCAGCACCTTAATTGTACGTCAGAAAGAAGTTAACCTTCCCAATATCTAGGTATACATTCAAAATAATCTGCAATATTCAAAATAATCTATAATTTGGGGAATCTGTTTCTCAGAAAGGAATAACTACTAAATATGAGTGCAGTTGCCCAGATGAGAAAGGAGTTTATTTCATTTTGCAATGCTCTGCTGGATTTATAATTCTTGAACTTGCTACGCCACTTATAAAGGGCTCTAGAAAAAGCAGTCTCCAATGCAGACTGCTAGAAAAACCCCATGACAGAAGAATCAAGGGGCTTGAATTCTATATGATGTCTTGGGGGTGAAGAAAGGCAGCCCTCGCAGGAATCGACTTACCTAAATTAGCATAGTAGTAAGGAAAATCTCCCAGGTAAGATGAATACTGTGGTAGCACGAACAATCCTCCAGGATGTTTGTTCCATATTAAACTGTTACGTGATATGTGCTTGAATATTCTGTCCTGAATAATCTAGAAAACAACAAGACAGCACAGAGTGAGGACGAGACCCAGGTGGTACTTGGTAAGGTTCATGTTTGATCCCAATCTGAAAGTCAATGGAACTCAGAGCAGGACTCTACCCCCTTCCAACTCTCCATATAAAAATGGCTGTGAGAACAGAGGGAGACAGTGCGGTGAACAAGAGGAGGAGAAAGAGATGAATTATGGCCAATCACATTTCCTAATTAAACTTCAGTTGCATCATAAATCCTATCTTGTCTCTCTATAACTATGAGTCCATGCTCATTTCCAAACAGGTGTGGAACAGTTAGTCTTTCCTGATGGTTAAAAACCTAGCAGGACTCCCCGGTCCCTACCAGGAAGAGCTGTTCTCAGTGCACAGAGATGTCAGTGCAGACTAGGTGGAGGCTGAATGAAAGGCGCACTGAAGACAAGACAGACTCTGGAAGCTGTCGAGGTTCTGATCTATTCTTTCAATTCAGGGGGTAGATTTATTTGCTTGTCTGATTGGCATTTTCCTTTCAAAGTCAGTTATAGGACTTTGGGTATGTTCTACATTTATCTCGAAAAGTAGTAAGTTAACAATTGCTCAAAACATCCTGAGCCGGGCTCGATGGCTCAGCCTCTAATCCCGCGCCTTTGGGAGACTGAGGCGAGTGGATTGCCTGAGCCCGTGGGTTCGAGACCCGCCTGGGCAGCGAGACCTCATCTCTACAATAAATCAAAAAATCAGCTGGGGGTGGTAGTGCATGCCTGTAATTCCGGCTACTCGGAAGGCTGAGGCAGAAGGATCGCCGGAGCTCAGCAGGCAAGGCTGCGGTGGCCGGGAGCAGCCACTGCACTCCAGTCTGGGCAACCGAGTGAGACTCCAACTCAAAAAAAAAAACAAAAAACAAACATCCTACAAGATAGGACAAGAACCATGGCATATGAAGACTAATAATAGCCAAGCTAGTTCATTAGTTTCTTTGGACTTTGAGACCTTGCAGATCATTAAATTCTACATTTAGAGTCAAACATCCTCCCATCCTGAATCATTTGTCAGTTGAATGTGATTAGCCCACTTTACAGTTTTCTCTCTGTGACTTTCAAATTCTTGTAATTATACCATCCACTCATTAAGATATGATTTGGCAAATAATTAGTTCGATACAGAATTTTATGTTTTCGGCAATTTTTTAATATTAAAAAAAGAAAAATCTTGCCATAAGTCTTAAGAGATTTAAGACCTAAATCACCATTTTCCAGGTCCCCATTTAATGCAATGTGACTTTAAATACAGATCATTTAAAATGGAGTTCTATTATTTGCTAAGGTTATTAACACCCTCATCTCATTCCACATGGTAACTAGACAAGTAATAAAGTAGGCTACATTTATCTTTGCAAACCTTATCATGCTTATTTTCCTAATGAAAGAGAAGGAAGGAAGCAAGGAGGAAATTTAGAAAGACTCAAATATCTCAGTTCAATGATTTCTGCATTTTATCTTTTACCCAGATCAAAATTGTTAATTTTATATAGCTGGGTAGATATTTCTAATTTGTTGGGGATTTTTAACAACCTAGCTAAAATACTGATGTTTATTTTTTGTGGTATAGCAGAATGTGTTAAAATGCTGTTGTTCTTGCATTAATCACGAGAAGACTGTCATGGCTGTGAAGGGTTTTAACATGGTGAGCAATTTCACTTTGAACAACATTTATTCCAGTTTTTACTATTTGTGCTTTCCAAATCTGTGGTCTATTTATTTCCCCTTACAGTTTTTCATTTAGAGCCTCCCTTTTCTTTGCTTTCCAAATTTATGTCCCCTTCAGCATGCGGTCACTTAAGTTTGGATATCAAGGTAGAGAGTAAACTGATAATAGACAGCACCATAAATCCAACCTCAGACAAATGGCATGGAACCCAGAGCTGTCACCAATGGGTTGTCATTCACGCCAGGTCTCTGGGTGGCACGCTTTTCATTGTCATGACTATTACAACATTGTTATCGTTTAAAATTCAAGGATATGATAATAAGTTTGAGCACTCTTCTGAAATACCAAGACGTATTTTATTGTCTTCAAATGGACCTAGACAGAAAGACATTACTACAAGTATGACAGCAACAGAAGATACTAAGTTGAACCTGGGCCTCTGTGTATCATTTTACTAATTTGTAATAAAACAATAAAATATCACATTAATTAAAATAACTGCTCAGAACTTAAGAGTAGCTACATAAGTTTTTGCACATAAGACTTGATTTTTGCCTGTAAAAAGTCTCATTCCTATGTTCATTTCCTAGACATTGGTTTTTCCATTTTTACATAGCTATATCATAGATATTATAGGTAAATTTTCAAATTATTAATAGTATTCATGGCTTAATTATCCCAAATGACCAAAAATAGGGCAATTTTTTCCATGCAAAGCAATGAATGTATTTATGAATAAAAATTTTCCACATTTACAATGGGTTCTTTGGGACTTTGTCAAGGGGTAGAAATACTTTGAAGACTGTTCACGTGTAGTGCCAAGTGGCTTCCTAAGGAGTTTATAGCAACTTGCCTTCTCTTTATTGCTATGAAGGAAGACATCCCACATAGAGGCTGGATGTTTCTTTGGCCATGAGGAAACCCAACACACAAACACACACACACACACACACACACACACACACACACACACACACACACACACAAACAGCCCTATAAGATTTTTTTGTTATGGTCTCAAATGGCACCTTCAATAAGGACACTGTTTCTAATTAATGTGACTTAAAGTGAAGAATGACAGGCTCCTGATTTTTCTTATTTATGTGTCATCTTTTTTCAACATAATGGACTACTTGTTACAGTTATTCTATGATCATAGCAACATAGTCCAATACACACAGTGCTATCATATGTCACCCAGCCATGTCAAGCAGCCTTCTATTCCATTATCTCACTGGCCTTATGATATCACTGTACAATGGCATCAACAGGGTCATGGTTTCAGCGTGCCTGGTGAGACACCTGAAGAGGAAATGGAACACCCTTCAGGAAACCCCACTACCTACAAGTGTGCTGGGTTAGCACAGCTGTTTTCATAGGCTATTAGAATCTCACATGCTTTTCTTCCTCTCTCCTTGATTATGTATGACTAAGTTCCAGTGATCCAGGCCTTAGTGCCAGGGACTTGTGTAATATTCTGATAAATAATGGAATCCACGAAGGAACATGTCTCTGCAGTATTTTGTCATTGTTCCTATTGTTATTTCTCAATTTGTACACACAAAAAACTGAGTTCTAAAGAGCCTAGCACTGATTAAATAGCTCCTTATTGCCAAGAGGTAGCATTAGGAAATTTCAACCAGACTGGAAAAACTAAGAGAATCCCAAGTTTGACAGAGTTCTACACAATGAAATATACCAACAACTTGACATTGAAGAGAAAACAAGGTGTTCTGTTTTCAATTGTGCCTAAGTACTACCTATATACCTCTATGGCTCATGATCTCCAAAGACCCCATAATCCCATTCCCATGGCCTCAAGTATAGCAGGAAGGAAGAAGAACTCTGTGTTCTAGAATCTGAGTACAGGACACCCTTAGGCAAGGATCCTCAAGTCTGAGGGTAACAGTGAGCTATTCTCATACATTAGAGGCTACAGCAGTGACCAAATGACGTATTCCATTGTGTAAGCCAAGTGGGCATTTTTGACATGTGATACTTAAATTGTACTTGTAAACACACTGGCTGTGTTTGTTTTGTTTGTGGATGGCATTTTCAGCTATTTCCTCTGTTTTTCTAATTATGTTGAATTCTGGGGTAATCTGAGTTCTGACTTATTTTAGGAAACTGGGTAGTAACTCTCATTCAATTTATTTGAGAGGTCAAATTGCTACAATCCAATCTTGGAATTATATGAAAAGATTTGACAGTTGCTATAAATTTGAATGAAGTATATGGTTTTTAGTGTCTTAAAAAAGCAACTGTGTTGCTAAAATAATCGTATGGCTTAAATCCAAGGAGAAAAGCCCTTTTCAGGTTCAGAGATGAAAACAGCTTGATTTAAGATCCTACTCTGATTAATGTAACACAGTCAACTGTTGTTACAAGATAATTGAGCACTGCTAACTTAATAGGCAAGAGACCAGGTCTATGCAATAAACCATAAGCAAAAGAAATGCAATTAATGAGAGATCATCTTTCATCTGGCAAGTTAGCCAGGTTGTATACATGTGTGCTTTAATTATGATCTGTAAGGCTGACAAGAGCCCAGCAAGAGTCCAACGTTTTTTTTTCTTCTTAATTTTATATTCGAGGGTCAATGCGTAGATTCATTACATGGATACACTGTGTGATGGTGAGGTTTGAGCTTCTTAGAACCTGTCACCCAAATAGTAAGCATGGAACCCGATATGCAGTTTTTCTTGCCTTCTTCTCTTCCTCCACCTTTTTGGGGTTCCTAGTGTCTATTGTTTTCATCTTTACTTTTGTGTATACCCATTGATACAAATTTTTTGCAGAGTAATTTCACAAAATATATTATGAGTCTCGGAAATGCTTAGACTCTATGGGTCAGTAACCTCACTTCAGGAGCTTCATCCTAAAGAAACAGATAAATAGTTCATAATAAATGTAAAAAGTCATTGCTTGAATAGACAGTTATCTATAAAATAATCAGAAAAACATTAATAGAAAACAATGGCAGATTGGTTAAGCAAACAGAGGTCACCAAAGGATAGCATATTAAGGTGAAAAAAAAGGTGGTCTGGATGTATTAGTGGTGGATAACTAATAGGACAGAATTAAAAGGCCAGAAACAGCCTAAAGATGCATAAAAGTAGCATGCGAAACACTGGAGAATGAAATGTACTGGAACACTCAGGCAACAATGTGTAAAAAAATAAATAAATAAAATAAAAAGAGCTTAGATTTTCATATATAAAAGTAAATTGGATTAGACAGCTAAGTAGTTAATGGTAAAAAATTAATCGTGAAAGTACTAGAAAAACATAAATATGTATATGTCTGAGTGTATGCATGTACATATATAAATAAAAATATGGACCAAAAAATCCTTTTGAAACAGAAGCAAATAGAGAAGGTACAGATAAAAAAAACTGCTGAATCATAAACAAAACAGAAAGGCATATAATAAACTGACAGAAAACACTTGCAATGAGAGTCAAATGGCTAATATTTTTAATATAATAAGCTCTTAAAAATTAATAAGGTGAGACTTTGACTTTACAATAAATCAAAAGAATTAGCTGGTTGTGGTGGCATGCACCTGTGGTTCCAGCTACTTGGAAAGCTGAGTGGAAGGATCTCCATGGCCCAGCAGGTCAGATTGAGGTGGCCATGATTATGCCACTGCCCTCCAGCCTGGGTGACAGAGTGAGACTACACTCAAAAATATATACATATAAATGAGAAAAAAATGAAACAACAGTATCATTGCCTTGGCTATTTCTTTCTTTCTTTCTTTTTTTGAGTTGGAGTCTCACTCTTTGTCGCCCAGGCTGAAGCCGACTCATGGCCACCGCAGCCACCACCTGCTGGACTCAGGCGATCTTTCCACCTCTGCCTTCCAAGTAACCAGACCTACAGGCGCACGCCATCACAACCGGCTAGTTTTTGTGATTTATTGTAGAGATGAGGTCTCACCAAGTTGCCTAGGCTGGTCTTGAACCCCCAGGCTCAGGAAATCTTTTCACATGGCTATTTCTTTCTTTGTGAGTTGTTAGAAAAAGAAATATATGACAAATACTCATTTTTCTAATAACTTAAGAAACAGAAATTTTAAAAAAGTTTTATCATTTTTTAAAAGATGTAATGCCCAATATTAGTGAAAGTGAAAAAAACCCCAAATAATCAAAACAGTTCCTCTCATATAAGCTGGTGGGAGTATATATTAGCTCAGTTTTACTGGAGGAAAACAGACAAATCATATTAGAAAACTTAGCATTTGGCATTGTCTTTGAACCAGGACTTCAAATTCAAGGAATTTATCCCAAGGAAGTAATCTCGAATCTGCACAATCATTTGGCCTAGAGATTATTTCCTTCCATGATGTGCATAATAAAGAAAAAACAGAACAACTGGAAGGTCCTCAAATTTGGGATTAATTTAAATAGTTAAATGATATCACAAGTGGAATAATATTAGACATTAAAATAAGTGTAGAAAAAATATGATAACATAAAAAATTAAATTAACATTTTCTAGCAGAAAAGTTTATAGAAAACATACTGCAAGTACAGAAAGACCTTTTAAAATTAAAAATTACAACAAATTTTAAATTTACATATAAATAACATATGTGCTTGCATGAATATATATGTCAACAGTGGCTTTGCATGGGTAAATTTTTTTTGTGCTTTAAGTATCTTCCATTATTTTCTCAAATGAATGTGCACTTCTTTTAAAAGCATGCTGTACTCCAAAAAAAAAAAAAAAGAAAAGAAAATTAACATTCAACTTTAAGAAGAGCCTAGGAAGGGTCAAGGATGGAGGACAGGTCTAACAGAAAGAACAGACTCTATAATTATTCAAATCTGCTACTATGAATGGAGGTGGCAATTCAATCAGTTTTGATTGAGGAGAGTGCTTTTGGAGGAATAGGAAGAGTCTGCTTGCAGTAAGGAAGCCCCTGGAAGCCTTTATGATCCTGTCCCATGTGTAGGCATGGATCTGGTCTTTAATAGTCCTTTTCTCCTAGTTCCAGGATGAAAAAATGCAAGTGTGCATGAGAGGATGCTGGTCAGAGCTCACCTCAGGTGATAGCAGAAGCTTGAGCCAGGCATGGTGTGCCCAGCAGGAAAACAGGATGGTGACCAACAGGGTGGCTTCAGTGTCCTTGGTGTTACTCAGCCTTCTCAGCTGAGAAGCTATATTAGCATTTAGGACAGTCATCTCATTTCCAAATTCACCAAATGTGAGGCCACATGTGCCCACCTCACTCTGTGGACAGCTCAGCATCACCTCCAGGGTGTACCCCACCACAGGATCTCCACTCTCTTCCCTCAACCTGTAATTCATGAGTGTGCATTTTCCTAAATCTTTTCTTAGCTCTCTGTACTACTTGAGGGCCGCCTCAGGCCAATGCCAGCTGCTCTATTTCCAGAGGTTTTAATCACCTGCATGTTTCCTTTTCCTTTTTTTGCTCCTGCCTTAAGAGAAGCAACTGGAGGGTAGGCCCCCATCTGCCTGGAACACTTTCTGCTTTCACAGGGTTTAACACTTTCTGTACCACATGGTACAATCCTGATTTTCCTTATAACACAACTTCATGTTGGCGCTGGTTAGTTGGGTTGCATATGTATTGAGAATTAATTTTGCTATGTCCCCCAATGCAATCAAACTGTGGTGCCCTGGAAACTATCTGTATTTTTAGAATGGTAGAGGATTTTCCTTTACTTAGTCACTATCTTTTTTTCTCCATGGACTCTAGAAACACGTCTTCCAAGGATGCCTTTAAGTGTGAAGGACAGGAAGACAGTCACAGTCCACACATCCCTGAAATGATGTAGGCCAGGGCCTCTCTCTCTGTGGAGGAGCCTAATTTTTCTGCATGCTGGTTTTCCTCTGTGGAGCTTGTCAGGAATGGGGGGCAGGGGTTGCTGGGCATGGCAAAGCAGGTAAAAGAGGTTAACCAACACATCCAAGCGTAGAAAATGTGGCTTGCCCATTTGATCAATCACACATCCCAGTGGCAAAACAGAAGGCTGAGAGAAGGGCACAAAAGGACCATTATTCAAGACCAAGAGCTGTGGGGTACACTTACCTCTAGTGTAGTTAATACAATCTTCTCAACTGAAGAAAAATAAGCCTCCCACAAGAATTGTGTCTGCTGTCTAAGTGCTAGGATTTTATCCTGATGAATAGACCTGATTGTAGAAGGAATCTGCAACACAAGGTGAACACATAGGAGTTATAACTGTGAAACAGAGATGCATCCGATCAGACTAACCCAGCTGGGATGGGCTGTTACACGTCGCAGCATTCAGCTCCTAGTGTAGAGAGCTACTAAGATTACCATCCCCTGAGCTGGATGGCAGTAAGAAGTGTCAGCCACACACAGTACTTACTGGGAACCAGCCTCAACGGGCTCTGACACACAAAAAGCTCAAGTTCCTCTCTAAGTTTCAGCAGTAGCGTCTCAGTTGCTTAGAGTGTTCCTACAGTCACAATCGCTGTTTCCTGAAATCCTCGACCTTGTACATTAACAACCAAATTTTACAGAGGAGTAGCTGTAGGTCTCAGGAAAGGCCAACACACTTTATCCCCACACTTCTAAGCTGTGTCACCCCAGGAACTACAAAATATCTATAAAAAGAAAGTTTAGAGAATGTCTGCATGCTTCTTCAAGCAGCCTAAAGCCAGAGTCAGTCATTTTGATGTGCACACACTGCCTACCTTGCCTTTGGGGTCTTTCTGAAAGAGAACTCTCTTTCAGGTCTCAGCCCTCACCCCAGGCTCATGGGAATGTCTTTCCAACATTCACAAATATCTAGCCATTTCTGCTCTCTTCCAGACTATATGAATTTAAAGGAAGGAACTACTTCCTGTTTATCTTACTACACATTTTCAGGTAGGGTCAGCTGAACGTGACCATATAATCGAGACATCACCATTTTTAATAGTAGTGTAGCTTGACGGTTAAGCACAAGAGTCGGATGGATCAAGACACCTTTACCATTTGCTAGCTGTGCTTCCTTGGACAAGCTACTTGATTTCTCCAAGATTCCATTTCCTCATTTATAAGATGGGGATGTAGTAGTGCTAAATCATGAGGTTGGAATGAAGGTGACATAAGTGCCTAAGACAGGGACACTTAATTAAGACTGCTTATTATGACTCCTATGATCACGATTGACAATAGAGTGATGCTATTCAAAGCCAGGCCAATTGCTTCATGTCTGCACAGGAGCCCATTTGGATCTGTAGCTCTGACACACACCCCTGGGTTCCTGTCAGTATTCTGGACTGGCTTCTGATATCCCCTATGGTTCAAGGTTTCACAGGGGGACTTCTGTGACTGGCAGCTCCCCTTCAGCGCTCACCTCCATCAGTATCCTCACCTCCGAAACATATGACAGGTCAGATGTGGGCACCTGACTGAAGGGGAGGACACTGCTTTAACAGGAAAGTCACCTTGGGCATCTCAGTAGACTACACCTGAGTTTCCACTGAAGGGGAAGGAGATGTACATTTTAAAAATTCAAGACGCCCCTTAGGAGAAGCAATCAAACCATTTCACAGAAGAGAAGGAAACAGAAGGAAAAGCTCACCCAAACCAGACACTAAATCTGTGCCCCGAAGTGTCTATCTGGATTCGCAACACAGAAGAAACACAGAGGCAAACAAGTAAAGGAGAAACACACAGCCTGAAGGCTGAGCTCAAGGTTGAATGGAAATAAAATATCCTGAAAAGCTAGAGAAATCATTCATGTCACAGATACTTGATAAATCAAGGGAAAATTATTTTTATTTACTCACTGAGAATCAAGCTACCTAGATTTCCAAGGAAAGATCAGAAAAAAAAAATATTCTGCTCAATTTCCATAATCATGCCCTCTTCCAAATGTCAATGGCATTTTCTAAGACTTGTACAGGCAGGCAGTGCTGTTTTATTGTGGCCACGAGGAAAGAGTCTATTAGAAAAATGCCTAGAGCTATCATTGCTATGTGGTTTCCAGAAAATTGCATGTGCTGCGGTTATGAAAAGAGAAAAGAAGTATCACAGATGCCCCCCAACACCGAGCCCCTCTCTCATGTAAGTGCATCTTGATCTCCCTGCATCAAGTGCAGCACGTTCTGCCAGCTTGCGTGAGTGATGTCAGTGCCTGACAGCACTCTGCAAAATGCTCTGGAATACAACGCCAACGAACTGAAAAGACAGAGTTCCACGTTTTAATGGCATCTGGTGACTGGTTATTAATCTGCTTGTCCTGAGGGGCAGGTATGGGAAAGTGATAAATTAATTCCAATTTGGCTGGATTGTTTTGGAAGTTGCAAGACTCAATGAAGTCTTTATAAAGGTCATGTATGGCAACAAAACTAATGGAATCCACCAAAATAGATATAAGAAAGCCACATTCAGCTCGCTTGGTGACATGATGACAGGAACACATGCAAATAAAAACATCCGGGCTGTTCTAAAACAGGAAATGAAAAATTGTCACATAACAAAAACATTTTCCAGAGCAGACATTTGGGCCGGGTGCCAGCTCTTTAAACCATTGTTAATGACAGTGCGGAGGCAGCTGTGCAGAAGGGCTGCATGCGACAGGGACGATCCCGGATGTGTGAGGTGAAAAGCAACATCTTCAGAGTCAAGTCCCAGAGTTGCTCAGGAGGCGGAAGACCCTTCGCCCTTGGTGAAGTGCTGGAAAATGTACCACCACAGTGAGGCGTCCTGGGACAGATTCCCACCTGCTCACAGCAAATTCACAGGAGCACTGATACATAAGTGGAGAAAATGTGGTTGGTGTGTTTTATTCCCTTTACTTCCCAGATTTCCTCTAATGATCATGTATTATTTAGAAAAAAAAAAGCATGAAGAAAAAAGCAACATGGAAAAGCCCCACCTTTCCGTCTGACTTTTCATGAATAAATGAGGTGGGCACACACCATTTCTGTATGGGGGACACTTCCTCAGGATCTCTGGAAGGATTTCCTTAAGGAATCTCAATGGAGACTCACTAGCACGAATGTGGCCCTTTCACAAACCTCCAGACCCCTTTCTCAATGGACATACGAAAACCAAGCTGTACTCAGGGCAGAGTGAGTTATCCCAGATGAACAGACCCTGCCACAGCCCAGATTACACATTCCTCTGTTGCTTCTGAGGCTCCGGGAGCCACCACAATCACAGACCTGAGAACCAGACTGAAGGAATGTGTTGGGAGCTGTGGCCGGCTGGAGTACCTAGCCCACAGTTTGCTCAGTTACAGAGATTCCACCTGTTATTTCAGAGAGTGTGCTGGAGCACTTCTCTAGTCAGCTAAAGACTGGTCAGCATCACGGGGGTAGATGCAAGAACAGGGTTAGAAACTCAATTTTCTAGGTTATCAAGAAACAAAACAAAACAAAAAACTAACAACCCAGCAAGGACACTAAAAAAGTCATTCCACAAATATTTGTGGTAATTCAAAGAGAAAGTGTAAAATGCCATGAATAAAAAAAAGAAACTTAAACATTCTATAATTTTAGTAGAAGAGCATGGTGCTTAACATCACATTGATACCTAAGCCAGGTAAAGACCCAACAAAGAAAGAGAACTACAGGCCAATATCTTTGATGAACATAGATGCCAAAATTCTCAACAAGATCCTAGCAAACCAGATTCAACAACACATCTCAAAAATCATCCATCATGACCAAGTAGGCTTCATCGCTGGGACGCAAGGCTGGTTCAACATTCGCAAGACAATAAATGTAATTAAATATATCAACAGACATCAAAACAAAAACCACATGATTATATCATTAGATGCAGAAAAAGCTTTTCATAAAATCCAGCACCCCTTCCTGATAAAAACCGTCGAACACCTAGGCATACATGGAACATACCTCAAAATAGTAAAAGCCATCTATGAGAAACCCACAGCCAGCATACTCCTAAATGGACAAAAATTGGAACCATTTTCCCTGAAAACTGGAACAAGACAAGGATGCCCACTCTCTCCCCTCCTGTTCAATATAGTATTGCAAGTCCTAGCTGGAGCAATCAGAAAAGAGAAGGAGATCAGGGGTATCCAAATAGCAAAAGAGGAAGTCAAGTTATCCCTCTTTGCTGACAACAAGACTGTATACCTTGAAAACCCAAGAGAATCTGTCAAAAGCCTCCTTACACTGATAAAGGACTTTGGCAAAGTCTCAGGGTATAAAATAAATGTGCAAAAGACAATCGCATTTCTTTACACCAATAATAAACAAATAGAAACCCAAATAAAAAACACAATTCCATTCACAATAGCCACAAAAAAATGAAATACCTTGGCATCTTCCTAACCAGAGATGTGAAAGACCTTTACAATGAAAACTAGCTCAAAGAAATCAAAGAATACACAAACAAGTGGAAAAATATCCCATGCTCATGGATTGGAAGAATCAACATTATAAAGATGTCCATTCTACCTAAGGCAATCTACAGATTTAATGCAATACCCATCAAACTACCAGCAACATTCTTCTCAGAGCTAGAAAAAACAATACAGGAATTCATATGGAAACACAAATGACCAAGAATAGCCAGAACAATCCTCAGCAAAAAAAAAAAAAAAAAAAAAAAAAAACAAAGCAGGAGGTATCACATTACCAGACTTCAAACTTTACAATAAAGCTAAAATAATCAAAACAGCTTGGTATTGGTACAGGAACAGGCATATAGACCAATGGAATAGAATTGAGATTCCAGAAGCAAAACCTCAATTTCTCAACCAACTCATCTTCGACAAAGCCTCCACCACCCACCATTGGGGAGAGGAGAACCTATTCAGTAAATGGTGCTGGGAAAACTGGCTGACCACATGCAGAAAACTCAAACAAGGCCCCTATCTATCCCCATACACAAAAATTAACTCTAAGTGGATCAGAGACCTAAATGTAAAACCTCAAACCATAAGAACCTTAGAAAATGCAGAACACACCCTTACAGGAAATTGGAACTGGCATCCAATTCCTGAACAAAACCGGAAACCGACAGGCAATACGAGATAAGATAGAAAAGTGGGACTTCATTAAACTGACAAACTTCTGCAAAGCCAAAGAAACCATCAAGAGAGCAGGGAGACAGCCCACAGACTGGGTAAAAGTATTTGCCAACTCCAGGTCTGACAAAGGTTTAACAACTTGGATCTACAAGGAACTCAAACGTGCTGAAAAGAAAAAAAACAAACAACCCTATTATAAAGTGGGCAAAAGATATGAACAGACACTTCTCAAAGGAAGACATCCGAGCAGCCAACAGACACATGAAGAAATGTTCAACCTCACTAATCATCAAGGAGATGCAAATCAAAACCACACTGAGATACCACCTAACTCCAGTTAAATGGCCATTATCAATAACTCAAAAAATAACAGTTGCTGGAGAGGGTGTGGTGAAAAAGGAACACTTCTACACTGTGGGCGGGAGTGGAAACTAGTGCAACCTCTGTGGAAAACAGTGTGGCAATTCCTAAAAGCTCTAAATATCGACCTCCCACATGACTCCGCAATCCCCCTACTGGGAATATACCTTGAAGAACTCAAATCACTCTATAAAAAAATACTTGCACACGTATGTTTATTGCAGCATTGTTCACAATAGCAAGAACCTGGAACCAACCATGCTGTCCATCAAAAGAGGACTGGATTTTAAAAATGTAGTACATATACACGCTGGAATACTATGCAGTCATAAAAAAGAACAAAATCATGAATTTTGCAGCAACCTGGATGGAACTAGAGTCTATAATACTGAGTGACCTCTCACAGAAATAAAGATCTGAGTATCACATGTTCTCACTCATATAGTGGACCTTGAACATCTATTGTAATACTATAAAAAAAGGATTGACCATGGTGGGAAACTATGGGGGGGAGAGGAAGGGGAAGGAAGGTGGGATTAACGGTGGCCAATATCTGTTTGGGGACGCGGAGACACCCCTTATCAACAAGGGTGCCTGAACGAAGCATATTTGTATACCTAACCCTTAACTGTACCCCACAATATTAAAATAAAAAATATTAAAAAAAAAAAAGAGCATGGCACTTATGCTGAGCCTAACCCATGACTGCACCAAGGGCTGTAGGAATCCTCAGAAACTTCTGCCTGTGGGTTTCTTTGTGAGCATCATACCCGTGCCCCAACTGGCTCTCATGCCATTCAGGCCGCTACAAGGGGCTGTGCTCTCAAATATACATCCCGGAGATAACACTGCAGACACCCAGGCTGGATCACTTATGGAACGATAACACTAATTAGGAGAGCGAGCCCAGGAGAGCTCTCATTTCCTGAGAGGTAATCTGAAGGCAAATGCAGAGACAGGAAGGCCTGTGGAGCAGCAGGGCAGCAAACGACTCTGGATCACTTGCAAACATTCTGGCCCCTACGGGGGTGGAGCCCCCCTCCTCACAAATCAAAGTTCACGCTCTGAGCCTATAGCTTTTTCACAAAACATATTCTGGGGTCCAGGCAGATGGTGCTGGAAAGTGAGCACTGTCCTGTTAAATGACTTCATATTCACCGTGACACAGGCAATTTCCCGAGAAAATGTCTTTCGTGGAGCTGACCCTCTGGATTCGTCTCCTCTGAAAGTCTGGATGGAGGCAGCGCTAATCTGTGGGCATGCTGAAGGCCGCCACCCTCCTTACCTGTAATAACAACCTCTCGTCGCCGATGACGGCGGCTTGGTTCCAATTAATCACTTCCGAGAACGGCAGCTCCCATCCGTTGCTCAGCATCACTGGGACGCAGGCGGCCTGAGCAGATTAGAGATGCGTGAGTGTGGGGAAGGCCATGGCAGGCCCCATCAAGGTGGAAGGGGCGGGCCAGAGGACGGAGGAGGGGACGCTCTTAGAAGCTGTCGAGGCACACAGAGGCTGTGCATATCCAGGCTAGATAGCAGCATTTGCAAGTCTCATCCCAGAAGGCCAGAACCCCACTTCTATTCCAAGTATGTGGCTTGGTTGACCTTATTCCCATGGAGACAGCTGGTCTCACTAAAGAAGGTTTATGCATGTAACAAAAGCTTGCACCAACAAAATCTCAGCATAAAGTCACCCGTGAACATAAACGGATTTGTCAGTGTCATGGCCACAAGTCCACTTGCAAAGTGATCTACCCCCATGTCATGAGCCAACTGAGCAGAACAGTATGGCTCTCCTGCCAGCACAGGGCCAGCACAGGGTGTTCACCTTCTCCATGCCCTGTAAGCAGTGACGCCAGACATGTGTCTTTCCGTGTGGAGTGATTCCCACCACAGCCAGCCAGGCATACCACCTGCATCAGGAGCCAGTAGCCAAGACATGCTAGGCCAATGACAAGATGCCGGTTCCAGACCATTCCTAATCCAAACCAGAGAACAACCTGCTTCACGCAACGTCCCAGGAGGCCACAAGAGCACCAGTGATGGCATGCTCTACAAAGCACAGGGGCCCTGGGAGAGACTCTGCAGGGGAGGATGCTCTGCTGCCGGAGGGCAGGACAGGAGGGTCTGCTTAGGAGGGCAGGGATGGGGCTATTAAGCACTGGGGCAAATGAACAGACCCAGGCATGGAGCAGGGAAGAGTGCAGCAGCACAGGGTCATGGGATGGAGGATGATGGAGGCTGAGTAGGGGCCTCTCTTTGCAACCAGAAGAGGCTGGCTGCAATGACCAGCCCCAGTGGGAGACGGGGTCAGGGTCTCTGCAGGACCCATGAGGCACAGAGCCTTGGAAGAGCCAGGCCAAGGGAGGAGCACACCCTGCTGGAACCACTCTCAGAACTGAAAGGAACTGATTAAAGGCCAAGACAGAGACAGGACAGACAATTTGCTTTGGGGGAGCCCCAAAGTAAACTGCTTTCATTGTCTTCTGTGGGGACTGGCTTCCCGGGAAAGAGCTGGGCCCTTGGAGGATCCCAGGCTGGGCTGGCCATCAGATCTGCCTCCTGTTTGCAAAGGTGACCCTGAAGGACCCACTCTCCTTGAGGGCAAAACCATTTAATTTTCTTAGGTTTAAAGGTAGTGCATGAATCCCCTTTCCACCCCTTGACTTTTCAAAAGTTTTCTTGGGAAAAAGTCTAGATCCTCAAGGGAAACCACACCTTCTGTTTCACTCTGCCAGGAGAGGTGGGAAGGTTGAGCTCACTCAGTCTGGCTTCCGTCCTCAGCCCCACTCAGGAGGTTCCTGGGTCTCTTACCTGCAAAGCCTCCAGGAACCTGAAGGACCCAAGCCTGCGTCCACGAGGAACCAGACAGAAAGTGGCGTTGTGCAGCATCTCCCGGTAGTCGTACCTGGAAGAGAGGGGAGCTGTCAGCTGGGAACGACCTGCAGGGAGTGGGTGGCTGGCCTTTCTGGGTGTGACTTTTCCCAGAGCTACTCAGGAAAGGGCAACCCTCACGTTTTCATTTTGGGGAGGGCGCTCTTGCATGTATGAAGAAGAGCAAGTGTATGCCACAATGCTGGACAAAGCAGCTAGGGCCTCTTTGCAATAAGCACATAAAGATGAGTTTGATGGAGCCACTGACAATCTGGCCTGACCGCCTCTACTTCCAAGATCAGATTTTTGTGTCTTGATGATATCTGTTACCTCTGTAGGCTTAAAAAGAAAAAAAAAAATTGCTGCTGCTGCTGCGTCTCCTTGAACACCACAACATTCAGCAAAACTAACACTGCTCGTGTTCCCCACCCCCATACCCATGCTATTAAAAACTCCTCGGGAAACCTCCATCACAAGCACAAACAACACTTGTTTTCTTTTTCAAGATGAAGTTTCTACATTTAACCAAGAACATTCAGTTACCCCGAGAAATCTTCCTGCCTAAGAACGGCCAACATACAGGAGAGAGCAGAGAGATGAAGGGTGCTCTCCCCCAAGAGATGGGAAGAAGGAAAGAACAGCAGAAAAGGCCCGAAATAGTAGCAGGTATGGGAAGTGCACTGCAAGAGAGACAATTTCTTCTTTTACTCAAATACCATTTAATGAGATCACACTTTCCGTATTTTGAAAAAAGATACAAAATATAACATGAGTACCACCAGTCTCTCTATGCAAGTGAAGTCTGGGAAAGACAAAAAGCATTTCCTTTTGTTTAGGACTACCACTTTTAAAGTGATTATCACAAACATTCCACACACACAGCTTTAAGTATATTATGAGTTTAAGAAAACTTGGGAACTAGAGGTTTGAGTCCTGTGAAGGCCCTGAGTGTTGGAGCCAAGATGAAATCACTCTCATTTTTCAAGAGCTTCCAGTGCTGAGCAGACAGGTGTGACTTTGACAGCAGCATATGTCACTGGTATTTTCTGACTCTAATAGTCTAATTTAATCATAGCCTGAAGGCATTGGATTCTTTCTTCTGCTTTTTGGGATACTGATATATACATTTATATTTTTAAAGTCCACATCTATTTTTATATTCTCATACAAACTAGGCATATGGGAGTAAGCCAATTTTCAATTATAAACTCGTCATTAAGAACAGACATCATGCAAAGGACCATTTGCTTAAACAAGCGTGTACAACTAATTTGCACAAGAAAAGGTCACCGTGAATGGATTAAGATTATCTCCATTGAGAGCAAATCTTAAAAAAAAAAAAACACCCTTCCTGTATTAATTAAATTGCAAAACCAACTTCAAAGTAAGATTTTTAAGAAGGCTCATATTTAGCTAAACAAAAACAAAAAAATTATGATGGCAATGACTTATTTTTCCTCACCAAACACTAGAAAACAATTGACAAGTATCTTCAAGTTCAAAATTTGGTAATGTCTGAATTTCTCCCTTATAGATGGAGAAGAAGGAAATGTATACACACACACACACACACACACACACACACAAATACATACACAAAGTTTAAGCTGAGTTTTTTTTTAATACAGAAAGGTAGAATATACTTCAGACTGCAGCAAGGTTTAATAAACGCCCAGAATAGAAACCCCTGAGGGATGTGTGCAGGAGGCCCCACGGTCTCATCATTAGGCTACTGAAAATGTAAAACCCTATTAATGTTCTAGATTGTAACACGTTTCAAAGTTGCCAGCTGCAGCACTGACTTTAGGGAGTAGGTGGAGGGAGGAGGGGGCAGAAAACTTATGGGAAAAATTCAAATGACAGTTCCACTAGGGTGCTGACTTCAAAAGTGGCTGCACAGGAGGGGTTATCTGCTGATACAGCAAGTAGAGGTGACAGGACTGAGCTTATATTCACAGGCATAATAGGTATGAGGAGGTGTAGAAAAGCACCTGCTAGGGTTAGGAAGCCACTGGGTAGCTGTGAGACTATGGACAAAACACATGAGCTTTCTAGCCTCAGTTTCACCATCTGCAAAATGAGCCAGGTGGGTTAAATGACTGAAGATGAGGTTTTAACATCCCATCATTCTTTATGTTATTAAGTAAAAAAGAGGTAGAGAAATGTTCTTTGAGACTATCCCACTGCTTTGAAGCGTTCCACATCCATTATATGTGAGTGTATGTATCTGTGGATATGTGGACATCTGCTCGTATGTATAGAGTGGATGTCTAACGTACGTGTGCCTTCATACAGACGCCACAGACACATAGAGAACATACACACGTATAACTCGGATTTCTGGGCATCCTCAGCAAGTGACCTGGCCTCTTTCTTGGGCCCTGGACAGCGAGCCTAGAGTTACCAGTGTGTTCTGACTGCGGAGTGGGGCTGGGCAGGCCGTGGTCCAGGGTGGGCCATGTGTGTGGCCCTCTCCCTCGCAGCCCACCTGATTCTCTCACACTCCACATCGACCTTCTTCTAGATGCCTACACCTACTCATTTATTCAGGCATCCTTTCAAGAAACACTGTTTCAGACACCATCCCATTCCTGGAGCTGTCATCCAGAGAAGGCCTTCTCTGGTTGCTGGATCTGGCAAAGATGTACCTGACCACTAGAAAACGCTGAGATGGGAACTTAAGATATAAAATCTCCCTGGGGGTATCTGCATCACAAGAGGAGATTATGGGGCCTTCCAGAAGACACACAAAGAGCTCCCTGGACTCTCTCCCCAGCAAGAAACAATTTGGTAAATATCATAAAAAACATTCATTTAAAGCATCTAGAAGTCATCTTAAGGACAGAATGACAAATAGAGAAAAGTTGTTGCTCTACCAAAAATCTACCAAATCTCGGCAAGAAAGGTAGGAGGAGTCTGCGGCATCTGAGCCCTGAGCTGCTCCAACACTAATCCTGCCAGCTCCGCTCTACACAAGCTTCATGCTGGGCTCCCATCACTCCCCTCCCCAAGATGATGAGAAAATAACCCACAGGAAGAGAGAACATATTTGCAAATCACACGTCTGATAAGAGACTTTTATCTAGAATATATAAAGAACTCTTCTGACTCAACAATAAAAGGACACAAACTCCAATTTTAAAAGGGACTAAGAATCTGAATGTTTTTACAAAAAAGCAATTCAAAGTGCACATGAGAAGACACTCAGCACCATTAGTTAAATAAAAAACCACAATGACATATCACTTCACACCCACCAGGATGGCTAGAATGAAAAGGGCAGGTGAGAATACTGCTGATGACCCAGCAGGAAAGTTAGAACTCTTCACAGGTTAGAGCTGCTGCTGGAGACAGTGAAATGGGTAGCTCCTTTGGAGAGAAGTTTGGCAGTTCCTTTCCAAACTAAAACGGACCTGCCGCATGACCCAGCAATTGCACTCTTGAACATGTATCCCAGAAAAACGGAAGTGTATTTTCACGGAGAAACTTGTCCACAAATGTTCACAGCAGTTTCATCTGTAATAGCCCCAATTGGAAACCACTCAGATGTCCTTCAACGCGTGAAGGATTCAACAACTGTGATATATTCACAGCCTATTCTCAACAATAAAATGAAACAGACCATTGACCCACACAACCACCTCAAGGACATGATGCTGAGGGAAAGATCCAATCACAAAAGGGCACACGCCAAGCTATTCCATGCTTATGATGTTCATGAAATAACACGATTATAGGGACGAAGAACAGTTAATGGTTACCATTTGTTGCATTCAGGCAAGAGAAAGAGAGACGTGACAGGTCAGATGGGGAGGTACGGTCTCCTGAGGTCGATAAATTCTGCCCTGTTGCTTATGTTTATCAATGTAAACTGCATAATCATGCAGGAATAAAAAACTAAAGGTAAACAAATAGTATCCTAAGCAAGAAGGTAATTAGGCAAGGGAAACAAAGGATCTCAGAGCATTTTCAGTATTAATTAATAAATGGTGTCATTACCCTTTTCAGATGAGCATTAAGTTACTCACCATACAGGTGAGGGATGACGAAAGGAAGAAGACTTTTCATAAATGACTACAAAGAAAAATGTGATACAAGTGGCACAGCCCTGAATCCTACTAGAAACCAGTACACAGGCTGCCATAATACCTTTCTTTTTGAAAAAGGTACAGATGTACCCATTTGCCAAGGGTGAGGCAATTGTGCATACCTGGAGTTGCCCCCTCCCCTCCCCCAAGAAATTTGGAGAATTGCCAGCAGCAATCCTGTGCAATGAGATGGGGAAGGGAGGGAATGTGGGGGTGGGGGCGGTGGCGTGGTGCTGGGCAGGGGTTCTCAGAGCGTGTTCTCCCAGCCTGTAGAGTCATCTGTGTCACCTGGAACTTGGTAGAAACTTTCTCAGCCTCACCCAAACCTGCTGAATCAGAAATTCTGGGGGAAGGGCCCAGAATCCTGTGTTTTCACAGGCCCTCAAGGTAATTACGATGCACCCCACAAGCTGAGAAGCACTGGCACAAGAGTTAAGAACCTCGTAATTAAAAGCTTAGTGGTTAAGCAGCTTTAGACACAGCCAAGCCTGAGTTCGAATTACAGCTTTGCAACTTAAAAGCTGAGTGATCTTGGGAAAGTTATTTCATTTGTTTAATCTTAGTTTCTTGCTTGGCAAAATGGGGATAACACTTATACTGTGAGGATTAAATGATACGTTTTAACTGAAACACGGGCACATGTATAAGCAATCCATACATGGCAGCTGTTATCACCATGACTGAAAGAAAGCGGCCAGATATAACAGAAAACACAGCCAATCAAAAGTTAGAAATCTGGGCTGAGGTGAGGAACAGGGGTTCTAGATCTCCCACTTCCTCTGTGACCCCCATGCAAACCATTTGACTTCTCTGAGCCTCAAAGTTGTGAAGTTCCAGTGAAAACATGTACATGCCACAGTCACAGTGAAGCACCACACAACTAACTGATCGTTTTTATGGTAGATTATATCAGAATAAGAGGGATCATCAACACAAAACAAAACCCAAAAATCTAGTAACAATTAAAAAAACCCCAGATTCCCCAAGACACAGCCAAGAGACAAATGTAAAACAGGCCTTCAAAGTGAAATGAGAACGGAAGCTTGACTCACACAGAACAGCAGCTGCTAACGGAAGGACCCTGCCTAATAATCCAAAGCCACACAGACGAGGAGTACCAGCCCACTGTGCCAGGTCCTCCCGCGGTCCTCATGGCTTTGCTGTCGCACACACAGCCAAGCCAGCCTGCTTTCTGCTAACCTGAGAGCCCAGGAAGATGCGAGTGAGCCGGCTTCTCATCTCCACTCACACAATCCCAGCCTCCCCAATTCATCTTGATGTGGTTATATTCTGATGTGGTTCCAATTCATCTTGAGTAGTTATATTCATCAAGTAACTTAACATCTCCAGCCATCTATACCAGTCTCCATCCTCGTGAACCATTAATCTCTGTACATACCCAAGTCTGAATCACTCTTCTCTCCTACTGGAAACCTCACTCCAGGCCACTCCAGCAGACCAATCTAAGACAGGTCATCTGCTAACCACAGCACCTTAGACCAGTCCTTGGCCTCTACAGATCTAACACTTCAACGTTTCCATCATATTTGAGAAAACTCTGAAGTTTATAGCATATAATGACATGAAACTGACCCAAGGCACAGATTTGACTGAGAAACATGCATAAGTGGGAGCCAATTTTTGAGCTGGAAATGGGTCTCACCAGCCTGTTTTTGAGCTGGAAATGGATCTCTACAGGTTGCTTTGAGCACATATAGTATGGAAAAGCACAGGGACCCGGGGTCTTGGATAATTCACTGGAATTTTAGCCGCAGTTTCTTCTGACACACAGAAACACACTCTTGGGGCACATGGGTGAGCTGTTCTGTGTGTTGGTGCCAGGGCAAGACACACACACACACACACACACACACACACACATACACACAGTACTGGGACCTGGGCACGGCTGTCCAGACCAGCCAAAGCTCAGGACACTCGCTGCCCACTGAGGAGGGTGCATGCTACTTGGAGGTGGTATATGTCCTCATGATGATCCTTTGCCACGAGCACCGCCTGCTGCTAGAACTTCCAAAACTATTCCAAGATAAATGCAACTCAAAGCCTCCGTTTGGGGGCAGTCAATCTCAAGCATCTGTTGCAAAGAGTGATGTTCAGCCACATCAGGGCCAAGGATGATTCTTCACCCTCTGTTGCTTCCTGGCTTTCGCAGAAGACAATCTTCCCCTGATGTCCATCCAACAAACAGAAGGAGTGCAGGACATTCTGTGGGCCATGGGCCCATGGGAGGCACCTGTCTCACCCACAGCGTCTCCATTTGCTTCACAGTCACTTTTGAGTAGACGGTTACACCCACTTTTCATGGGGGGAACAGAGTCCACAGGGTCCCTGGAGTCAGATATTGCCTGAACTCGCTGGGTCACAATGTCAGCTCTAAACTCCCCACCATCCTTACCATAAATGTCCATGGACAGCTTAGTAAGTTAACTCACACCAGGTGGAATCACTACCCATGTACATTTTTTTTTTTTTAAGTTGGAGTCTCATTCTGTCGCCCAGACTGGAGTGCAGTGGCTGCTCCCGGTCACTGCAGCCTCGACCTGCTGGGCTCCAGCGATCCTTCTGCCTCAGCCTTCCAAGTAGCTGGAATTACAGGTGCGCACTATCATGCCCGGCTGATTTTTTGATTTATTGTAGACATGAGGTCTCGCTGCCCAGGCGGGTCTCGAACCCGCGGGCTCAGGCAATCCACTCACCTCAGCCTCCCAAAGGCGCAGGATTACAGGCTGAGCCACCAAGCCCGGCCTACCCATGTACATTAATGGACCACAATGTGTAGCAGTGCACCTTGTACTTCAAAACGGGGTGGAAGACTGTCTCTGCTCCTGCTCATTTAACAGCAGCCCAATGGCTAACGTACAAAGGAGAGGAAAAAGACTTGACGGTCATTAATGATAACAATTCAAATAATAATACCCTACTTATTAAATATGTCCTGTGGGTGAAGCGTTGCACTATACTATCCGTACTCTGCACTGTGCTTTTATTTTACAACCACTATGGAAAATAGGTGTTATGAGTCCATTTTATGGATGATAAAGTGTCAGAGGTTTTGTGGGATTTGCACAAGAAAGGCAGGATCTGCTATGGGCTCCATTGTTGCTCGGAGTTGCCCAAAGTGGAACACAGTGCCTGCCAAGGTGAAGACAAGAGATGTTAACACTTTGTGCCCTAATGCTGACGTCAGGAAGCTCTCTGATGGTCAAAGTTTTGCAGCACCAGCTTTTTTTTTTTTTTTTTTTGAGTTGGAGTCTTACTCTGTCACCCAGACTGGAGTGCAGTGGCCGCTCCAGGAAACCGCAGCCTCGACCTGCTGGGCTCCAGTGATCCTTCCACCTCAGCCTTCCAAGCAGCCAGAATTACAGGTTGCAGCACCAGCTTTTAAATGTGCAAGACTAACTTTCAAAACTCTCCTGAGATCAACACAATTCCAAGATGCATAGTCTCAGGTCTCTGCTCAGAAATCAGACATTTCTACAAATGTTAACTGGAGGGCTACCTGGGTACAGGGGAAGAAAAGGGATGAACAGGAAGAGCCAGCCACAACAGCAACCTTGGATGGATAAATGCATCCAGAAGAGCCACGTAGACCTGCTGGCCACGGGGAAACATGAGGTCATTATCCTGCCATCAGTCTCTCGCCAGGCTCTGAGCCACTGGGCCCAGCCAGGTGGATGGGGGCCAGGTAGCATGGACCAAAGCCCAAGAAGCCTAGGACAGAGGCGGGCAGCATGGGTGTTGGGCCTTGGAGGGCAGTTCCTCCCTGGCACAGGCCGAGTCCCAGGAGGCCAGCGGTGGAAGTTATGCTGATTCCCTCCCTCTCTCTGTGCAATGTCCACTCTCTGGGAGAGACCTGAGCCCTGCCACTCAGGTGCCCTGTATCGACCCACTGCCTGTTTTCTTACATGCTTCCCTGGCCTGCAGGAGGCAGGACCTTGGCTCTACTCTGTTGATCAGTGCCCACGCCAGGGCCCAGCCAGCTGCAGTCATCAAACAGAAGTAGTCCAAGGGATGGAAGATGCTTGGTGTCCACCAGTTTGTGTATGTGTGTGTGAGAGCGGTAGAAGGAGGAGGACAGACACATGCTCCATTCCAGTGTCCTTCCACTTCAGCAAACCCTGTATGTCACTGACCACACCAGGCCTCCAGACGGGGCTTCCATCTTACACTCAGGCTGAGCACAATTGACTTGGGGAATGGAAGAGGGATCTTTTATTTTTTTATTTCTTAGTCTTCCTTTTCTGCATTTTCTATCCCATCCTACAGGCCTGACGGCATGTTAAAAATGTCGTCTTTCCTGCACAATGACACAGGTGGGGAATCTGTGTCTCACCAGCCTGATAAGCAGCATTATTTGCAAATCATCTAGATGCATACATGGCTCTGTGCAGACAGAACCCTCTCCTGGCCTTCCTCCATGTGAGCAGAAGAAAAAAACCCCTGCAGGTTCTGCAACCTTCTCCTGGCTTCTGGGATGACAAACATTGCCTCGGTCCAAAGGCAATGACTCCTCCCGTCACTCCCAGAAAAGTTGGGCTCAGCCCAGCTCGGCCTAGCCTTCCCATGATTTCCTTTCTTGATCCAGGACGTCATTTTCCACCAAGGCTGGTGTTATCAGGCCTGGGATTAGGAGGATGTCTCGAACTCCTCCCATCCCTGTCCCCAGGGTAGTTACCGTACAGGGCCATCCGGCATTCTGCATTCTCGTCAATACTTGATCCTGCCGTTTGGTCCCTGCACTTATGTGCTTAGGAGACTCCTTGAGAACCCAGTTATCACTCATGGAAGGACACTGGCTCCACCCACCTCCCCTCCCGCTCCTCCCCCACTGTTGCCATCCTGAGCTCCACTGTGGGATGCTGACAGGGTCACCTCACCCCTCAGCCTCCTGCACAGAACAGGCAAACAAGACTCAACACTTGATGTGGGCTGAAGTGGCATATCCTCAAGGGATGCTGGGATTCCAGGGTAATCCAATGTTGCGTGAAGCTGCCTGCATGCAGTCTCACAGGTCCCAGCTGGGTGTGAGAATGCATCCATGCACAGAAGCATGTGTGTGTCCATGAAATACCTGACGATCTGTGTTATGCATGATGCCCTGATGCCACACACTGCAGATTCACCTTTGCCTGAGGGCTGGGCCTCAGGTGTGGAAAAGGCCCTTTAGTCTAGACGCTGCCCTTTCCTTGGCAGAAATGCCACAGTTCCCCAGAGCCGGTCTGTGGAGTTTGAGTCACTCTCCCTCCTCCTCCAGCTGCCTGTGTCCCACATCCCCAAGAGACACAGTTCCTGTCAATGCCCTGGCAGCAGTCTGGATCTGGGAAGGAGCTGTGGGATGGAGAGGGACTGAGCACAGGAGCAGGGAGAGGGAAGTGGCTCTAAAAGGCCTTCGTGTGCTGGTACTCATTGGACAGAGCGTCAGTTAGCCTCTCTGCGCAGGTGGCACTCAGCACCCAGTAATAACACAGAAACCCTGAGGAGTGCCGTGTGTGGCCCTGCAGTCCTGTGGGACCCTCATGCCCTATCCAATACCTCCCTAGCTCCCTCCTCCTTGGATCAAGTAGGGCAGAGCAACAGGATGCACACCCTCACTCAATCAAACCCTAAGCCTCTTTCCACAGAGCAGCCAGCCACCTCTCGGGTCACTTGCAGGTGGAAATCCCTCCTAGGGCCCCTCCCAGTACTGCAGACAACATCCAAGCCCTGACCAGCCTGCAGCTCTCACAGTGCCTCCCCACTCTCCACTGCAGTCATCTGCCCTCAGTCTTCCCACATGGCACACTCTCTCCTACCCCGGCCTCCACCTGCCTGGAGCCTTCTTCTCCAGATCCACCCAAGGTGCCCATCAGCGTTCCAATAGCCCCTCTTCTGCGATGCCCTCCCAGACCAGCTGGTATCGCCTAGTTTCACCTCTGTCCTGGCAGTGACCAGCATTAGAACCTATATGTGTGTTCATGGCATACTGTCTTTCTCCCCGAGTACGAGGACTCCTTAGGAGTCGCATGTGCCCTTGCTGCCAAGTTTCTGTGCTGGGCCTGGCCCAGAGTCATCTTTTAAGTATTGCTGGCTGGGAGTGGTGGCTCACGCCTGTAATCCCAGCACTTTCAAAGGCCAAGGCAGGATGATTGCTTGAGCTCAGGAGCTTGAAACCAGCCTGGGCAACACAGCAAGACCTCATCTCCTCAAAAAAGAAATAATAAAATTAGTTGGGCATGGTGGTGTGTGTAGTCCCAGCTACTCAGGAGGCTAAAGCAGGAGAACTGCCTGAGCTCAGGAGGCCAAGGCTGTGGTGAGATGCTATCGTGCCACTGCACTCCAGCCTGGGCAACAGAGACTCCAACTCAAAAATAAACAAACGAAGTGTTGTTGAAGGAATGTCAGATTATGCACCCCTCACCTGTTTCTCGGGAAATACAAGTGGTGTGAGGTCACAGAACGTCCAACCTGCTGATGACATTTAAGTCTATCACAAGACACATTTCTAAAAGGATGCAGAGATGTTCTCGCTCATCTGTCTTATTGCACGATGCTAGCCTTCTTTCTCTAGTCAACGGTAACTCATCAGCTTCTTCAAATGCCATCTGCCATGAAAGCAAGAACCCATTAATAATGTCTTTAGAAAACACTTTTAAAGAAAGAATGCCTTCAGAGATGTTTATGTAAAGCGATATGAAGGAACCCACACAAACTAATCTCCAGAAAACAGTTTCTGATCCTGATTTGGCTATCCACTGTTTGATTTTAAGAGGTCACTGGGGCTCTGAGTTCATGCTCATCTACACATGGACCATCAGGCTCGTTTCACCTCCTTAGCAAGGCCTGCCAAGTATCTGCCGAGATGTGTCCACAAGAATGTAACGCAGAGTGTCAGAAAGGGTCGAGCACATGTTTCTTTGGAATGGTTTTTGTACATATGAGGCATAATGTAGGTGATGTCAAAGTCCTGCTAATATTTCTTTTTTCTCTTCTTAGAGTCCCACATTGTCATGGCCTATACCCCACATCCATCCACTGCTGTTTTCCAAAAGCAGCATTCGGAACAGCTGATTTGTTACCCAAGCCAATAATTAAGCACACATGACACCATGGGCCTGCACAGCCGCCACGAGCCCTGCTTTCCGCTGGACTGGGTTTCAGCTATTAGCCAGTCAGCCTATTTCCAGGGTATGAATCTGTAATGAAGACGGCTCAGAGCTCTTGGCCATGGGACCCTGAAAGAGCGAGCAATTCTGTCACATGGAACATCTTGTTGCTGGGCTTCCATTAAAGTATCTTGGCTTTTAAATACACTGTCAAGTAAAACTTGGCATCAAAACACAAAGTGAGTAACTTCTTTTGTCGCACCACTGACAGCTCAGCCGAGTGTCAGATAGACAGCCGCTAAGAGTCAGCTCCGAAGGCAAGTGCA